ACTGTTCAACTGGCGTTATTAAGAAGTTGGATTTACCTATCGCCACGATCAGTTCACTAAGGTACAGAAGAATATCATTTTTTATATGTATTGGCTTTGTTTATAATTCCTCATTATTGTTATTGGGCGGGGAAGTCGAAATTTTAACAGTCTTTAACCCACATTTTTGAGTAATTTTCAATTAAAAAAATATTTATATAATTCAGGATTTAAACTTTCAAAGAAAGTCCCACAGCTACTTCATATAGAGTGACTCCAGAAATAACAATTAAGCTATTAAGTGTACTAAATATCTTTAAAAAATATACAAAAATAGGTATTATGGATAAAAATGCAAATTAATTTTTCAAATTTAATATTTAAATTATTTTCTAATTTAATTTAAAAACTTAATTATTATTGTTAAACATATCATCGCAAATTAAGTCCCCTTTTATTTATTGAACCATTGGAGAAACCAAGTTCAAATGTTTTGGTTTTTCTGGGTTGTTTTGACTATATCAACGTTGGACTGTGCCGCTAATTGACGCAATTTTGTAGACAGAGTAGGGCGTCCAAATTAGGATTATTGGAAACGCACATTCATTTTCAATACGTTCATAAAATGTTTGTTATTATTTTACTTTTGAATTAAAAAATAATTAAATTTGGGTTTTTCCCTTTATATTGATCGTGGGACTTAATTCTTTGTTTTGCACAAACTTGTGACACAATAAATTTGGTATGAAGAGTTTTTTTTTAATTCCTTAACCTGTTTTTAAAATTTGGTAAAGTAAATAAAGCCAAGTTTATTTTGCTCTTACAACATTATACATTCAATAATAATAATATTGTAAACTTTTGGAATTAATAAATAGTTATTACAACATTTTTACGCCACTAAAATGATATTAACTGAGTTCAAATATAATACTTTCTTTGGCATCTGTATTTTACTTTGTTTTAATTGTTCTGTTGTTATAGAAGGTGTTTGCTAACTTCACTGAGAATTCTCGCCTTATTTCTCTCCTTAATAACAAATGATTTTAGCACTGTGTGTTGTGTAAAAAAACGAACCAACACTAATTATGTTTCACTCTAAAACCATAAGAAATACGTGAAAAATCCTGCAGACGCAATTTTCTTAAAATTAATTTTTAATGACGTTTGCAAACACCAGAATAATTGAAAGAAAATAAAATAAAGATAGTTAACATGTACATTAGTTTATTTTCACACTTTTAAAAAATATTTATTTATGGTCATTATATATTTATATATTGAATTTTTCATTTATATTTTATTTAAACGGGCCTCTCGCTCATAAAGTAGAATGCAACAATTACATGCAAAGGCTCTAATTTGCGCCAGGAGATACATTGCGGGGTACCGTATTCTCTAAGATAAAAACATTTTGTGAAAAACTAGCCCCTATCTCAACAAACTAGAACTTGTTTACGATCACCAAGTTTCTCAGACAGCATCTTAGGGCACATATCTTTATGGAAATCTCGATGGAAAAGTTCCTTTTATTTTCGTAGATATCCCACCGTTTAGTACGCACTAATTTTTATACCCTATATAATTGCCATCATTATTTTAAATTAATTATTATAGCTAATTATTCAAATAAAAATAAAATTGCATTGCAGCGCGAAATAAAATTGCCGTTGCTCATATCCTATATAGCGATTTCAAAAACTAAATTTACAAACATGTATACTAATCCTGTATCACGGCTAGCACGAAATAAACTAAAACAAATTCCGAATTCTAATTTTACCCGGAATTCGAGTTAAAAAAAAATTAATGCAGGTTGAAGAATGTCAAACTATAGAAGCGATCTTTAATTGATTGAATTTCAAATGCACTCCATAAATACATTTTCATGTTCAGTTCGTCCGGCAAAATAAAAGAATAATCTGCTAAATATTTGACGTCCAGGATTGAGCTTCTGATTGGGTAGGTTAATACACGCCCCTATCGAATGAGGAGTGTCTGTCACCACGCAAAGCTTGTCTAATTTTAGTAAGAAAATTTTTGTACTCACCCACGAATCCATTAGTCAATTAGTCGAAAAAAATAGATTTTTCTATCGGGATTGTTGTAACGTGGCACCGTATATTTAGTTATTGCTTATGTTTATCGCTACTGGAAAATAGACAATTACGTTGCTTTAAATGCGTTTTTTAAAGTAGAAGCTCACCTTACGTTTATTTATTCTGAAACCGTTATCTAGTTCTGTTCTGTGGTAGATTCAACAGTGATTTGAAATTTGAAAGCAAAATAATCATTGTTTAAGTCGGAAATTTATGCTTTTCTACAGCATATAAAATATAGGCAAAGGAAAAACTATTTTTCAGCCATTTAGCCAGTAAAGGGCACACATTGAATAAAATTATTGGACATTTTTCACGAATTAGTTATTTGACAAAAATTCGTACGTCACTCATATTTAGATATTTATTTATTGTATTTGTATTGTATTGTATTTATTGTATGTGTTTCTCGAAAACGAGCAAAATTCGCATTTCTACTTTATACAACAATTTTATATTTAATCAGTCAAGTCGATACTTGTAGTTCAATGCCAAGACAAAATTTATTTACCAATGACTTCTGCAGAAACTGAACCCAAACGACTAAGTTTGCAGAAAACAAATACGTATGTATACCGATTGTGTATATAAATATTTTTTCTGGTCTCAAAAATCCGGGTTTATCATTTTTATCATTTTTTGAAGCCATTATATTGAACGGCTTGAACCAATATCCAATTTTAGTTTGCAACTTAACTCTTTTAATACGAAATATTGCACTAAACTAAACATAGCTGAATGGAATAATATTGATTCAAAAAATACCCTATTAACATTCATCCAGACACCTTATCTAAATAAATTTTCTACAACCTAATTTTTTCACTCTCTTTCGCACATATTTAAAAAATATTTCAATACGTGAATGAGTTTTTCAAAAGTTTCACGTAATAAACAAAATAAATAATACGTTTTTGCCCTTTCATTAATTCTAGATATCTATTGCTTCGTAATTTTTCAACAACACATATTTTTTTCATGCAAATTTGTGGCTTGCAAATTGCGATATCTCGTAACGATGATTACGAATCTAATAAATATTTTCGATAAACCGAATATTTATGTCGGGAATTCGCCCGTATTTCGTTTTTTATTTTTTCACAAATCTACCGGCTCATTTCTATATGCAATTTTCATGGAGGTCTCCATTTTGCATTGGAACAAAGGGAGGAGCCGAAAGCTAATGGGGGTTGCGACATCTAAGCGAACGCCCTTTTGTACTTACCTTTCCGCTTGGTCAAATGTCCGAAAGCCAGTTTGAATCACATCTCTGAGTAGTTTGTACCTCGATTTCGCCACCTCTCTTCAGGTAGGTAGTTAGATGACTTAGTTATTAAACGCATATTACTTTCCTTATGAGTTTAAATTCTCTATTTATATATTGAAATATTGCTTATTACGTATTAGTATATAATATGTATTATAAACAATTGTTGCTTTAATTTGATGTGTTATTATTAAACAACCCCATTGTTAATGATATTATTCAAAATGCGGTTCTACAAACGTAATTTGTAAAAATTCTTGACATCGGTATTTATAAAAGCAGAAAAATTTGCTATTGGGAATATATTAAATATTATATTAAACAAATTTTAGGAAGTACTTCCAAACTTCCAATCCTGAGAGTCGCATCTTTCGAATCGTATGTACTTAAAATAATTATGTAATTAATATTTAATAGTGAAATGTTCGTTATAACTTTATTATAATTATCAAGCTTTGACCATTATTTATTTTTTAGCCGTAACAATAATTGATCTTAATTACACTCTTTTCATTGATATTTTCAATTGTTTTTGCTATATCGGTGATTTTGCGCTTCCACCATGTCAAGAGTGTTTGTCCAATCAGCATTCGTACTTGAGAGTTGTTTTGGTCAAGTATATGTTGTTTAAAAGATTTATTGGTCAGTCCGCGTTCATCTGTTTTGACTTTTATTACAACGCTTTGTAGATAGTTCCCAAATGCCTATTTCTGTTACAAATCATTTAGCGAGATATGCGTTACGTAAATCGTGAAATTAAACTATAAAACTCAATCCACATGGCTGATAAAGCTTCCATGAAAGTTGACGTGAAAATTTAGCTAATGATTGCGTCACAGTTGTCAAGGGCGCGGATGACACTGCTGTGTGACCCTTCCAGAGCTCCGGAATTAAATTGTAATGTAGCCCCTTATCAATGTCAATAAAGCTTCGTCAAAGTTGGTATTTTTAAAATGCTCACCTATTTAAATTTTAAAGCTCCGTGGCACAGAAAGTGATGTTTCGCTGTTCGCAAAGTGCCAACGTTAGTAAAGTTTCACTTAAATGGTTTGCTTACAAATCGGTATCAATTTCTCCCCGTTCTTATAATGATGCAGTTAAATAAACACTATTGATTATTGATTTTATGTTTTTGGTGAAATATATATACAAACTTTGTATATCTTTATTGCGCGTTTTATGGCCTTTTAAAATTATCATTACGACTTGCTAAAATGTTTTACTGTAAACCCACTTCAGTATATGACGACCGAAAACTAATCAACAAAAGTAACACGTCGTGAAGCTACACGAAATTTGAGGAAATAGTAGAAAGCAACATAAAAAAAATACGACGCCATCAAAAATATTTGTAATATTGATCGTTGATTGTTGCTAAAACTAATTAAAGTTAATTTATTTGTTTCAGGTAAGGAAATGGGGGAAACTTGAGGCTTTTTCGATTTTGATTGTTGCTCAGAAAGCCTTAAATTGAAACCGGCTTTCGGGCTTCAATCAATTTCAAAAAACGCCAAAATCACATCGCTTGCAATTGGCATCAAAAAGTCGTTTAGAATTAACCATTTTATTGACACTTTGTAACGATTTAACAATATAGTTTTGGTGCGGTTAATATTTAAGCAACATCATTTCTTCGTATACCTCGCACAAACACTTTGTCAGTCTTAATTGTAATAATAATAATAATAATAATTTAATTTCTTTGTATAATAAATTGCAACATTTCTCGATTATTTTGGATATTGTATCACATGTATTTTGACAACAAATTTTACAATTAGTAAACTTATGCAACAGTTTGATATTAGACAATAAAAAATCTATATACCTATTACCAAAATAATAAACTCTACCATTATTTTGATAATTGTATCTCATATAAATTATATTTAATCACATAATCTCTCTTAAAAACGGGTGCATATGTATGTATGTATATATACATATATTATTTTTTGTAAAAAAATGCAAGGTTCCTATTTTCCCAAATACATAATTTTCTGGGAATTATCACATGTACGTGTACTATAGTAAACAACGACTATAACAATAAATACACTTAGCCTATTGATAAAGTTTTGTTATCAGACCAATCCAAGACCTCTACCGACTTACCGACCATAAAAATAAGTAAAAGTAGCAAGATTTTGATTTTGACTTTCCAAAATTCATACTTAAACGTTTTTTGGATTATTATTTTGATAATGATATCACACAAATATTAGTAGACGACGACTCTGGTAATAAATAAACGTAGCTAACTGTTTGTTATCAGACAAGTCAAAAATCTGTATCGGCAGTATTTTTGACGTACCTACTATTCATGTGTTCTTGGTTGCATTTACCAGCAGTGACGACTCCTGCCTCTTGAGGTCGGTAGTTCTTGTTTGGGACCCGTTCCTAGATATATATTTGATACTGTAGTTGCTCCCACCCCTGCGCATACGCACGTGGGCATCTGATGTACAGCATAGTGCCAGCATGAAACTTTCCCTGAAGCTTTTGGACATGAAACCGTAAATGATCGGGTTGACGCAACTGCAACAAAAATTAAAATTATCCCCGTATGAAGCAATTTTAAACCGAGCCGAATGAGAGGGTTTCTTTTATGACGAATTCGCTATGCTTTAACTCCACCAGGGGTAGCTTGCGAGTAGATCGAGCATTAAGCTCGCCAGCTGCTCCTGTCGGTCCTAAGTCCGAAAAAAAGGAGGAAGGTTGGGATTAAATTTAATCCCGTAAAAACATAACGATATACAATGCACAAGTTTCTCTTTTACATTTTAATCGTGATGGTGATGGCTTTTGAAGTAATCATTAACTCTTTAAATTTGTATGACCTTTTTGTTTATTTTGTTAACGGAAATATTGACATGAAGAGGCACATGAACCAGAAAAAATTTTAAATTGTGAAATTTTGCCTAATAAATTAAAAAATTAGCGGACAAAGCTGGTGTTTATTTTTTTTTAGCTATAGTTTCAACTATAATTGAAACCATTTTGTACCTTCCGAAGAAGTTATACACTTTTTCAGTCTGATATCCCAAATTAACCAGTTAATACAATTGTAATTTTTCACAAATGTGAGAAACTTATGCTATAAATTATTTTAAAGTTATTTTATATTAATCAAAAAACTACCGTTTTCGTAAAATTATAATACAATAGTATATTGTAATTTTTAATAAGTATGATAATTAAAGTGAGAAGTTAGGAAATTAGAAACGGCTGGATGAACTCTTGGTATTGTGTTATAAATTGTTTTACAGTTTCTCTCTACTCAAATATTTTGTACGTATCCATACCAGCCACTCAAAAAACTGCCGTTTTCTTAAAATTATGACCACCATGGAATTAAAAATATTCAAAACTCTAAACGTATACATGTTTTGACCATTCCATAACTGGAACATTTACTTCTTGAAAGGAATTTAGAATTTAGAAATTATAAACTATAAAAATATCTACAAAAATTAAATTGATTAATTAATTAAAGGTATTCAAACTGAAAAAGTGCACATATTTTTTATTTTGACTTCATTTTGTCCAGCATTTTAACAATTTAGAGTGAGAAGAGCACCTAAGTGTCTCATAAATGTTCGCTTAGATTAGCGTTTGGATTTTTAGGCGAATATTCCTTATGTGGAACATTTACTTCTTGAAAGAACTAGCTAATTTAGAAATTTAAAAACAGAGATATTAATAACAGAATTGGGGTTAATTAAGATGTAATTGCGATTTTTTGTATCTTTTAGAAGAAATTTCTCTGTCTAATATTCCCAGTTATTCAGTTAATATTTTTGTTAATACAATAGTATATTTAACGTTTAATAAGTATGAGAAGTCAGATGAGAAGCTAGGAAATTACTGTTTCTCTATACTCAAATAGGGAACCATGGAATTAAAAATATTCAGATTCAAAACGTATAAATTTTTTTTTTAATTCATTTTGTCCAGCATTTTAAAAATTTAGAAATAGAGGAGCAGTTGAGTGTCTCATAGATGGTATCTGAGATTGGCGTCTGGACTTTTAGGTGACCATTTAGTTCTTGACAAAACGAGCTAATTTAGAAATGTAGAAACAGCGTTCTATTTGTATCCTTAAGAAGGAATTATAAACTTTTCAGTCTAATATCCTAAGTTAGAAGCTAGTGAATTAGAAACGGATGCATGGATTCTTGTAATATTTTAAATTCATTTCACAGTATATTTATACCAACTACGATTTCCTCAAAATTATCACCACCGTGAAATTAACTTACAAAATATTCAAACTCAAACCGTATACATATTTTTATTTTGAGTTCGTTTTATCCAACATTTTAACAATTTGCGCGATTACCTGTTGAAATACGCCATTAAATGGAATGCGCTTGACATATACTTTAAAGCGCCGGTTCTTTCGGGACATAATATATCATAAGCGTTCAAAATGTTGTCCACTAGAAGTGGCGACCAACAAATCGCAAATAACGTCACTACCGTAACCAACATGTAGATAACTTGTTTGACCATAATGGTGTCGTCGCGAAAATTCTTCACTCGCGATATTTTGCTTTTGACCACGTGATCCGGATCGACAGATGATTCCTCTAATTGTTCCGGTGGTTTTTTGCTCTCGATTCTAAAACAATGTCACAATGAACTCCTATGGAGTATTATTCGACTGAGATATTAGTTACATTCGTTCCCTGACCATGTCGCAACGCCGTTCCATTAGTTTCCACACTTCACAGCAAATTCGTGCATAAGAATACGTCATTATGAAAAATGGAAATAATAAAATTAAGATCATCATGTAAAGTTCGTGGAATCTCCACAGTACTTTGTTACCCCAATCTCTCACGCACCAACGGTATTCGCTGTTTTTGCCCACAGGCATTTGAATCTAAAATCATCAAATTTCTTGTATTTGAAATGTCCGAAAAAAAGCTTCATTTTAAGATAGTTTCCTTTGGAATTCGATACCAAATCTTACTCCAACAGATCTTGAATAATTTCATTAATTATGAAGCAGTAAGATTGGTTATAATTTTAAATATGGCGTTACAGTCTCATGATTTCATTTGCTACTTCCTCAAGGGATGATTTAATGTGAATTTACTCACTAATTTTGTAACTCTACCTTTCTATTCAATGCTTTTTTCAAATTGTGTTGTTTTTTGCTCTAAATTTTTCATTTTTATATATTTTTTTCCATTTTGATGCGTTCAATAATGTGGATTGTGAATTGTCGAAATAAACTATTAAAAAATCCGGAACCCGTGAGCACAAATTCTGACATTTTAAAATAAAATGTAAATTCGGGCAATTTGTTTATTATTTCCAAAATTTGTGGCTGTTAATTTGAATTTTTCAACTTTTAGTAATTTTAACTCTTTTGAAAGAACTATAAATAGGCACAATTTAAAAATAGTGAAGTTCCCCATTTATTAAGTACAAAATAATATTTATTTTAAATAATACAATTTTTAAAATGTAATGTTTTAAATATACCGGTCGACAATTTCACAGGGGATGACTTCGCACATAATTTTGAGAATTTGAGGATTTAAGGGGCCACGCTAATTCACCCTCTCGGCATCTACCGAAAATAAAATTACGCAGATTATTTTAGAGAAAAATGAGGTTATGATGATTTTTGAGGCAATAAAAGGCGAGCACTAAAGATTTGTTGGTTTTATTTACCCGAAAACGCTTCGAAACATGTGATAAAAATAATCAAAACAAATGAATGAATGTGTAATACGCGAGTAAATTCAATGAAAGCATATAGCCATTCGCAATATTTTGTTTACGTTATAAATGTGAATGTAAAAAAAAATTAAAAGCTCCGCTTTCAGTTTATCCGAAATGTGTTTTGCTGAAATTTTGTTCCAAATCGTACCTGGACGAGTATGGTGGGAAAAGCAAACAAAATTGATACCAACCATATGAAAAATATGATTCGCTTAGCTTGACTTCGAGTACATACATATTTTGCTTTCATTGGGTGAACAATGGCATAATACCTGAAATACACACCCAAATATCTAACATTATTAATTTAGATGCAAATTTACTTACCTTTCGATACTTATGGCTGTCAAAGTTAATACGGAACATATCGCAGATACGTTTTGCATATAGTGGACACTTTTACATAGGACTACACCCATAGTCCAAGTATATGAAAATAATTTGGCTACCTAAAACAGTTTCGGGAATAGAGGAACGTCTACATTTTCTCATTTAATGGCCATGAAGCTAGAAGGATATCAACGAAAGAAATTTTTATCTCGTGAATCAGTAGAACTCCGAGTAACTTAAACTACACATCAAAGAGATGTAGGCAATAAAAGTTAAATACAAATTACCAAGGGATCAGAAGGGATTACATTTACCCAACACATAGAGATGGAATCAGCTGAGGAATGAATGAAATTCATGGAAGAGTGCCGCTCGAATTCCAAGGAATTACGGAAGGAATTAAAATTGCAGGTTTTTGTATCTAGCAATTTAATTTTGTTTATTAACCTTAATCCTATACACTAGGGTGCATTAAAAAAAATTTTTTTTTAGCTCAAATATTTCTTTTTGATATAAAAAAAATCCTCACCAAAGATCTAGCTCAACTCTAAGGGGTTGCTATTTTTATTTCCCATTTGATTAACATTCTTTTTTGACTAAAATTAAATTTATGTATAATGTTCGCGATTTTTTACAAAAAATCAATTTATATTGTATTAAATTGAGTCTTTAAGCTTTCCAAAACCGCATCACAAAGTATGATGATCATTAAAAGCAAAAAAACAGCCATTTAAAAATTTCAGAAATAGCTTCTAATAATTTTTTATCTACATAATTTCTCAAAATTTTTATCCTAATTAATAGTCAGTGTTTTATTTCTATGGACTTCAAATTTTAAAATGGTTGTCCATACTTAGTGTAGGTGGCAGCACTAATTATATTAGATCATACGGTACAGTTGTCAAATTATCAGTGTCTGCAACACTTATATTAAAAAATTATTGTGTATTGTCATTCTTTAAAGCTCGCAGTAATTTCAATTATTATCAGTAAAATGGCTGATTTTTGAAATTTATTTGGTTGGTCTTTTATGTAGAAAATTAAGTAGACGAAAATTACCGAGTATAAGAAAAGTGTTACAATTTTTTTTCTACAAGCATACAGATTCTAACCTCACAATTCGACAATGTTTTGATGAAGTGATTCATGTTGCTATGAAGTTTGGAAACCTACCGGTATTCCCGTCTCTCAACTATATAACGCTATTACTAAAATCATAACAACTTATCGAGAGTGAGAACTTTTGAAAAAAAAAATTAAAAAAAAGAAAACTCAGAAACAAAAAATTAAGAAGCATACATTTAAAAATCGCCTTGAGAATTTGTTTGATGTATCTCATCGTAACAGAAGCTCAGTCTAAGTATTTAATTTAAAAGAAGAATGAAAAACGTCAAATCGACATAGTAGTTTTTTAACTTCTGCAAACTCAGAAGATTCGACAGAGATTTAGGTGAAGAACCAAATAACGATTACACAGGTACTTATAATATGATTGATTCTACAAATAAGTTCTGTATTCTACAAATTCTAATTTATAAATTTAACAATATGAATTGGTCTTTTGTAAAAAATTGCGAACATTATACGTAAATTTCATTAAATGGGAAACTAAAATAAAAATAGCGACCCCTTAGAGTTGAGCAACAGTGCCCATCTTTGGCGAGGATTTTTTTATATCAAAAAGAAACATTTGGGAAATAAGAGGTTAAGAGCTAAAAAAAAAAATAAAAACAAATTTTAAAGCACCCTACTATAGACCCTACAAATGTTTATTAAAACTTTATTTCACAATTAAGAAATTTTTGGCACTTTTTAATTTGTTGCATTTCGTATATTGCCATTGGGTTTTAAAGAACTGATAAATCTCCAACTAAATATCGTGGCATATATTCTTTATTCTAAAACAAACCCTCTTCATTGACATTAAAATGCAATTGCAAATGTAGTTACACATTTATATACATTTTTATAACGATGATTTAAATTTAGGATAAATTAGCAAGTAAAATCGATTTTTGTCGTAGATAAAGATTGGATTGACGTAACGAACTTGACTATAATATAGATTCGGTATTATCTATTAAAATAAATATGATAAAATAAACTCCCTTTTGGCGAATTGCTGAATAGAAATTGTATTTTTATCTGCAGCATGCCTGATGACTTTTATCACGGATACATCAATTAATGGATCTATATTGGTGTTTAAAAGATAAACTTTGTTTACTTCCCAATGTGGTTCGCCCAGCATGAACCTCGACAACTTTTTAATATATATATATATATATATATATATATATATATATATATATATATATATATATATATATACGTAAGTTTAATATATTCATGTGGACTATCCAAAAAGGGCTTAAAGCCTGTACACTAGACTTTGAAATATAGATATGGGAAACACTTTTACTTCAAATTTTACTTTGATGTTAATGATATGTCTAAGAAAACTTACTAGTTTTGAATTATTTTTGTTTATCTTTTGTTGACAGGTGGTGAAAGTTTTTAAACAAAAGCGAACGCTTACCTTCACCGGTATGCAGAATATGATCAACAACAAATCTGACGATGCCAAACTAGACAGAAACATGTTCGTGACGCTTTGCATTCTTCTGTAACGAAACGTTGTAAATATGATTAAACAATTTCCAGTCAGGCCCAAAATAAAACTGAAGCCATATACGAATAGCGTGGGTATCAATTCTGCCCAATCGAATATCGAATGAGAATCAATATCGTCATAATCGGTTAGATAGTCATCCATAGTCCTTCCAATTTCCTATTTGGTGGTTTCTCAATAATTTTTTCTCGTTCGGTTATAATACTCTGTAGGAAACAGCGCCATTATCAATAAGCTTGGAGTTTCTCTTATTAATCTGTCCTTCGTCCTATAAAAGGAACGCGAACTATAACATCACGAAAACACAACCTCGATATGATATTTCGAATTGATTTTCACGCCGCTTTAAAAGTTAATTGAACGAAGAGATTTCCCGAAATAGATTAATAGTAGCAAAACAAATCGAATTTGGTATTATTGTAAATCAAAACATAGCGAAACATGTTCGCAAAACCTACCAGGACTAGTCGATAAAGATTGGTTATAGTAATATTGTAATTTTGTATAGTGTATTTATTACAATGAAATGAACCAACCAAACTTTTAAATAAAAAAAAAATGTTGTAAACTGTAAAAATGTATTTGGCCAATGCTTTGGTCGACTGAAGTACAAGTTCAGTAATCCGAGGTACCCGAATCACTATTTATTGCATGCCTAACTTTGAAAGAATATTCCTGTTTTTGATTAGTTCACACGCTTTTCCGTTACTCTTTTGAGTAGCAATATATCTTGAATGGAAAAGGCAGGGGAAGTTTTATGCTTTTCTTGTGAAACGTTTTGCAAATATTAATTTTTGAAAATGTCCAATTTATATAGCAATCAGAATTACTGGAGGGCCCTAACCCTACAGTGGTACTGTAGTTGAATGTATATTTATAGCAATATTTATAAGAATTGAGTGTACTAAATAAAATTTTTATTTTCAAAAATATTCACGTAATTGAAATAGCTTATAAAAATGTATTTTGTCGACTAATTAAATTCTTGATATTAATACAAAATGGTTATAGCATTTATAACAATAAAATGAACCAGCTAAAACTTTTATTTAAAAAAATAATGCCGTAATTTTAAATAGGTTGAACAACTAAATTCGGCCAATGTTTTTGTACATTAGTTTAATTCTTGATATTCATAAAAATTAACTATAGTTTATAGTAGGAATAGTAGAAGTTGTAGTAGTAGTAGTAATAATAGCTAGGGAGAGTAGGAAAGTTTACTACAATAAATAGGCCGAAATGTTTAGATTTTTAATAATTGCCAATAATTTTGTCCGCCATTTGATTTCCTGATATTAAACAAAATTGTTTATAGTTTATAGTAATATTTATAAGAACAAAATGTAGTAACTAAGACTTTTATTTTCATTATTATTGCTATAATTTGAAATCGAGTGTAAAAATATATATTGCCAATGAATTTTGTAAACTAGTTTATTTCCTGACGTTAATAAAGATTGGTTATGGTATTAATAACAATAAAATGAACCCGCTAAAACTTTTATTTAAAAAAAATGAAGGATCTTTAAATAGGTTGTAATAAAAATAGTTTATAGTAGTATTTATAACAAATAGGTGATAAAAATATATTTTACCAATGGTTTGGTCGTGAAATTAGAAAAATTTTCTCATAGTTTATTACAATAAAATGGCCAAAAATTTTCTTCAAAAAGTCGATTTTTTTTTAAATGCCACCGTTTTTGATGGCCAGTTTATTTCCCGATATTAATATTTAACGATTAGTTCCAGTAGTATTTATTACAATCCCAGTAGATATATCACACGGATCAATCCAAACATTTCGTTAATCAACGTTGTAACCGTTGTAAACTAAATAAAAAGCGTTAGGATATCCACTCGAAAACATAAAGCTCTTTGGCAAGTGTGCTGAAATAATTCCACTGTTAAGTTAAGATACAAGGCGCCTTTTAATGCATATGCAAGTAATTGATCAGTTTCTAATATGCGTCCATACCTATATACGTCTTTATTTTGACCCAAATACCAAAAACACTCTCCCGAACGTTTATATCTTGCACGAAATATATCAAACCAATAGTTAATAGCGTGCGATAAACTGTTTACCAGTGTTTAGTGATTTTCAATATATTGGTAATTTTACTGGCTACTGAATAATATATGTATACTGAATAATGTATATATATATATATATATATATATATATATATATATATATATATATATATATATATATATATATATATATATATATATTAATTTTAAAATATTCGATTCAAAGAAATATTAAGAGGTAATCTACAATAATTACAGTTGTCATTATTTATAACAGTGTGCCTATCAGAATTTTGGTTGGTGATTAACATTTTTGTTTTACCAACTTCTTGTAACAATATCAAAAGAAAATATATCCCAGGCTGGTGAAAAAGTTTTTTTTTGAAAATCGCAAAAGCATAGTTTTCTCCGGATTTAAAAAATAGGCTCTGTTCGCAATGACATTAAAGGATTAGATTAATTAATCGGTTTTGTATACACAGATGCACTTTAATGACCCTTTGAATAAATTGTTGAAATGCGATTTACATGAGGTGAAGGTATCCAGCGGCTATTGAAATAAAACGGTAATAGCAATATATGACTTTATAAATATTTTCATATTCTATCGTTAAACAAACCTACTTTCAAAAAATTAAATTATGTCTTTGCAAATGGAAAAAAAACGAGATAAATTTTGGCTGTTTATTAGTTCTAACACAAAACAAGCAATTAAAAAGCTCTCGGGTCTATTTTATTAGCAAACGTAGGATAAATGAAATCATTAAAGCGTTATTTTTATAAAATGAAAATTCCAGTCGCGAAAGTTTGTTAGAAATTCGATTTCCGTGAAAATCACTTACTTTGTTACGGCAATATTTTGTGGTTAAATACGTTCAACACTTTCAAATAAATCGACGTCAAAATCTCACCGAACTCCGGATTAACTAGACGCTGCGCGTCTGGATGCGATGTTCATATGATTGACGCTTGAATCAAAAATATCTCTACTTGTTTCAGATTGTTCAGCTAGCTTGCTAATGCGCTTTGCCATTAGAAGTCAAACTGCACATTTCCTGTGGTCCACTACCCAATTTTAGGCATTACTTTTTTGCATCGAAAGCTGACACTACTGTCAATAGAACCAAATTATTTTTCTCTTCTTCACATTTTAGATTTAGACTAATTTTTAAGTAACCCCTATCTATGAGCCACTGCTAAATAGTAGTAGATAATAGTTTAGCCTGTTTTTTTTTTATAAGAATTAGGAAATAGTAAACCTTGTTTGCTGTTATGTCCAAGCAATCCATATATATGTGGAATATGGCACATTTTGTAGTGCACGATCTAATTTACAGTATAAATAAATAATCAATTACGGTTTGGTCAATATCTAAAAATATGCCTGGCGCATTCGCCAAAGTCAATTTTTCTTTTATTTTATGAAACCAATTGAATATTGCTTGCAAATACTTAATTCGATTCTATTTAATAGCAAATGAAAAATCGGATGCAATTTTTATTGAACGTCCCCATTTTCACTAAGCTTAGCAATAACGAAACCCAATTTAAACTCAAAATAGGTTTAAAAATTGAACTTTTTCCGAACTAACCAAAACTAACCTTGGCGATGTTTGTTATCTTAGAAAGCTTTATGAAAATAGTTAATTTAGATTTCTACACGGTCGTAAATTGTTTATTTATATTTCCATAATTCATTCAACATTTGCAGTATATTTTACTATTAGAGTTTCTCATGAATTTGGGCTTTTTGAATATTAGATGGACGAGGTGATTGTGAATGAACGCAATTTATTCCATTTTGGAAGATTTTCTTAAATCCAGCGGTTTTGAAACCATAGTACCTACATCTTAATTCTGGTATGCAAAATGTTGCAGATTCAAGTCCTTGTTTATAAATAACATCACAATGTATATGTTACTACTTTGCTTGAACGATGGACTAACGAAATTCGGTCATCTATAAACCGCTTGGGTCCATTTTTCCTTATACAAGGCAAGATAATAGCGTTTTGGTTCCTATTCTGACAAACCTAAGATTAAATATATTTGTAATATATATTTTTTAGATTACTATGATCACACGAGGCAAGTTCCCAGTTCAGTGTGAAAATTATTACAGCAAAACATCAAAATTCAACAAATTCCTCAATTTTTTTGTAATCCTTCCGTTTCCTTTGTACAGAGAAGGTTGTTTGGATACCACACAATAAAGCTTTAAATCGCACAGAAACAATCTAATGTCTGCAGTATTCAATTCACTCTGTTTTACTATACTTTCATTTAGATTACACTTGACATTAAACATACTTTTTAGTGTAAGTTATAGCAGGTCCTAAAAGAACTACAAGAAAAAAATATAAAGAATGAGAAGGAATAAAAAAACAATTCACACCAGACAACAATTACTGTGTTGTTATGAAAAAATATATAAACACTGTAAAAGGAACTATCTATATATATATATATATATATATATATATATATATATATATATATATATATATATATATATATATATATATATATATATATATATATATATATATATATATATATATATATATATATATATATATATATATATATATATATATATATATATATATATATATATATATATATATATATATATATATATATATATATATATATATATATACATATATATATATATATATATACATATATATATATATATATATATATATATATATATATATATATATATATATATAGGTTATACATATTACACATTATATATACAATATATAATGTGCATAAAGACAATTTATTGCATTTTGTCAATGTGGAAATTTTAATGTTTTTTTACACTACTTGTAATAATACTACCAACGTTGGTAGTTACAATTTATGGCATAAACCTTAGTACATCTTATGTCTGGTATTCAAAATTGAGTGCAAATTCAAGTCCTTCTTTATAAATAATATCATAATGTATATGTTTGCGAAGTTCGAATTGTGTCTACATAATATACTATTTATATAGGAATAGGACACGTGGGTCCATTCCACCATATAAAAAGCAAGATAAATCCTCCGATTAAATTATTTTTAATATACTTTTTTTTTAATTACTGCGTAAGTTCCTAGTTCAGTGTAAGCAATTAACTGCTAGCTAAAGCAAAACATCAAAATTCATCAATTAAACAAATTCCGCAGTTTTTTTGTAATTTTTCGGTTTATTTTACACAAAATGGGTAGCTTAAGTTTTACACAATAAATCGACCAGTCTGCAGTATTCATTTAACTAAATGACACTTTCGCTGTCATTTAGTTACACTTGACTTAGTGATGAAAGTACTAATACATTATTTCTATGAAAATGAAAAATTGGCCTTTGGGATTTGGAAAGTCTATAAATTTAATAGTTTAGAACCATTGATAATGATCATTGGCCATCGAGTAAGTATGAAATGGATTTTTGATAACGAAGATAAACTGACCTTTAATAATGTGAATTTCAATGGAAGTGAAATATATAAAACACAGGTAACAACAACAGCCTTGAAAATGAGCTCCACAAAAAAATTAAAGCTCAAAAATGTTCACTGTACTTTAACCTCAAAGGGATTTATATCTCTTTCCGATATGCCTAAAAAATGTGGTGGAGTATTTATTTAATAAACCTTTATAGTTGCAAGCTGTTTACTTAATTTAAATAAGAATAAAAGCGATGCATTAAAATTTTTTAGTAAAAGGCATTCCTAAGATCAATGTTCCAACTCTTCTCACAAACAGAAAAGGGAACATTATGATCTACAAGTTAGTTGCAAAATTAAATTAATTTTAGTAATACACTTTTCTTTTGAATTAACAAATCTTGCTGATGTTCAAAAATATATTCATGAAATTAAAACAAATGCCACTGGGGTTGACGAACTCTCCCCACTTATGCTTAAATACTGCAGTCCTTTCATTGATGTGTATGTTACTTACATTATTAATTCCTCCATTTTCCAAAAAGCTGGAAAATGTCACTTGGAAAACCATTAGCTAAAAATAATGCGCCGAGAAGTTTCAATGACCTAAAAATAATAAGTATATTACCGGCACTATCAAAAATATACGAAAAAGTTCTTTATAATCAAATCTATACCCATATAATGGATAATAGAATAGTACCAGAAAGTCAGTGCAGTTTTAAACGAAAGTCAAGTCCTGCGAATACCAATGATGATATTGTCCGAGCCACTGAAAAAAAAACTAATGAGTGCCTTAATACTTTTGGATTTTTCGAAGGCATTCGATACGGTGAACCATGACCTATTGATTTCCAAGCTAAATGTCTATGGTTTTTCCTCAAATTCACACGAGCTGATTAAATCGTATTTTTCAAATCGATATCAGAAAGTATAATGTATAATGGCCTGGTATTTTTTTTGATTTACACTTGTGACATCTTAAAATCTTTAAATTTTTTCATAGTTGAGGCATATGCCGACGATACTCAATTGTATTGCTGTTTTGATTTTAATAGTAGCATGGATGCATGTATTTATAAATCAAGATCTTAACAGGATTAGTGAATTTTCTCGTGCCCATAATTTAAAGCTAAACCCATCAAAATCGCATTTAATAATATTTGGAAATAAAAATCAAGTTAAAATTTTATTATAATGTTAGATAATATTAAACTTTCCTTTGTCGATTCAGCAAAAAATTTAGGGGTGATCATGTGATCTAAGATTTCGTGAATATTTAAAAAATATCTTTCAAAAGGCATATTTCTCACTAAAAGTCTTATATAGTAACAGGCATATTTTAAATTTTAGACTAAGGAAACAATTATGTGAGTCATTTATTCTCTCACATTTTAACTACTGTGATGAAGTGTATGGCTTTTTTTATCGATACCGAGTGTAAGTGCTGTATTCAAAGGTTGCAGAATGCTTGTGTTCGTTTTATTATGGGTCTTCGAAAATATGACCATGTATCTGCTGCAAATCATCAACTTAATTGGCTTAAAATGGAACAAGGAAGAGCTTTTCATTTCAACATATTCCTTATGAAAATTATCCATAACTTCGATTCACCCACTTTGCTTAGAGAGCGGCTGACTCCTAGGAGTACTATTCATTCTGTGAATGTAAGATACAGGTACAGACTAACGATGCCACATCATCAAAGTGCCTTGTTTCGTAGATCTTTCACATTCAACGCAATTCGTGTTTATAATTCTTTGTCATAGGAATTCAGTAACTTAAATTTATATTAATTTAAAAAAAGGTACAAAGATCATTTGTTACAAATACAGTTTTCTTAAGAATGTGTTGTTGCTAATTGCTAATTATGTTATTACCAAGGGGTTGGGTTATCAAATTCTTTATCTTCAATTGCAATTTCTATATGTGTTGTAGAGTTTTGTTGTTCTTCAGATTTTGGGGGAATTTTTCATATTTTATTTGTTGTTCATCCATTTTCTATTTCAATCAATAGTGCGCAATTTATTAACTATATAAATAGTTCTTAGAGTAGCTATTTAAAGCTAGACTGCTCCGCTTTTGAGCTATCTGTTTACTTTTCGTTGAATAATATTAATATTGTATATTGTCCTTTTTTTGATATAATAAATTTATTATTATTATTATTATTATTATTATTATAAATAATTATAATGAATAAGAGTAACAGCGACAGTAAAATACGGGGTTATTTAGATTTGTAAATGTAGCTCTAAATGAACGTGATGTAATATCCGAAAGATTTTCTTGTCGCAAATGATTATTGTTGCCCCGCTTTAGTAGGGTATTAGAAATATCTCGCTGTATTTTGTTGCGTTTTACAACCAGGAACATAAATAAATTCGTAACCTTTCATCTTTGTGATAAAATTTTTCCGGTTATTTTGCTTCGAATACGGAGTATGGCTTTTTTCGCGATATAGCATAAATGAAATATTCAACTATAACGCTTTGAAAATAACACGAACATTAAATAAATGTTAATCAACAATTTGTAATTATTATTATTTAGGTTACATGTTGGTCTGACCTCGTAAGCGCCATTTAGTGTAAATTGAGCACGGGTATGTGCGTTGTGGTTAGTACAACGTTATCTCCCCAAGTGCTGCAAGTATTTTTTTAAATTTGTCGAACATTATTTTAATTGGTTTATAATTGGTTTACCATACCCGGGTGTTTACAGTTTTCAAGTGGCTGGCTTTACGAAATGTTTTGCGAAAACAATTTAATTTGCCTTGTCCGAACATTGCCACTGTCTTATCCCTGTGGTTGGATTGTTGCGTCTTATATTAAACTTAAGCGATTGAAATTGTTGATGTGTAGTTTATTTTTTTCTGATCAACACGCATTTTCGTATGTATTATAAAATCGGATTTCGCAGTGCCAGTGGGCATACAATCAACAGTTTGTTATTTGCTTAACAATGAAATAAATCTTTCATAAAACCCAAGGGCTCTCCTGCTTCTTCGCCAAACTGATGAGGCCCAGTAAGGTCAAAAGCTGTCGCTCCGCAATTGAAAACCTCAAAACAACACAAGGTTTGGTTGAATACTTAAAACCCAGTTGTAAAAGGCACCGCACGAAGTGAAACGTATTGCACTTGCGAAACTGGGTAATAGCTTTCGACCTTTCTGGGTGTCATCAGCTTTGCGAACAAGCCTACTCGATCATTGCCAAAACCAGTTGAAGGGCCAAAGGTTGGACCAGGCCTGAGCATCTTCCGAGTCTTTTTATTATTATCATTATTGTATATCATTTATTATCATAACATACAAATACAATGCCAGTCCAATACATCCCCTCTCATAAATTACAAAACATTTCCATTCCAACATTCCATTCCATTTACCATACCAATACATAATAACTCAAATCACCCTTACATGCACAAAATGCTCTTTCATAGGTAAGATTATAACTAGAAAGCAGTTTGAAATAATTTTTCAAAGAAACTTCCACAGACTACTGTAATTCTTTTTACAAAACTTCTGGATTCCTCCTGCGTTGGTTTTTACTGAGTCGAACTTTCTTACGTTTCGCCAATCATCCTGTTGACTTCTTCAGAGTTTCAGTCAAGCTCCGAAGAAGCCAACAGGATGATTAGCGAAACGTCAGGAAGTTCGACTCAGCAAAAACCGACGCAGGAGGAATCCAGTTTGAAATAACTCTGATAACTCAAGATTGCTTTTGACAAACGGATAGAATATTTAAGGAACGAAGAGAAAAGAGCGTATAAAAATAAAATATTAACAAAATAAGATATTCGAATCTATGACCGAGTAGATTTGGATGGGTCTCCGTTATTAAATTATTTCTGTTTATATATATTGACGTCGGAATATTGTAATATTCTGTATTTTATAAAGGCAACATTTTTGGTTGTAATTTAATTGTTAAAATGCTGTGCCAAATTTAAATCTTTATTTAGCACTATGCTAACGTAAAAATTAAAATTATATATTTGCAGTATAACAGATCGACAATGATATTTATAAAACTAACAGCTAGGATCATCACACAGGGATTAAAATTTAGACAATACATGACATGTTAAAAGCCTTTGAAATTCATTTATTTGAAAAAGCTTTTAATATCGCATGATAAATCGTTTAGACCTTGATGTAAGTTGGATTTCGATACTCGACTAGAATGCCCTGAAATAGGTAACTTTTTGTGAAACATATTCATATTAGTATTATAGACAACAAATTAAGTACACCCAAAGTATTTTCAATAATTTGCAAATGCTTTAAATTATAATTTCACGAAGTGAACAAAAGTGTCGAACAAAATTCCAAATGCTGTTATAGAATAAGATTTTGATGTTGGTCTTAAAAAATGTTCCTAGTGTAGATATAAAGCTTAGAAAATTTGCATCAGATCTCAGTATTTTATTTCCTTTTACTGCACCAGTTTTTCATTTAGAATAAAAATAGATACAGTATCCAAATTTGTTTTTTTAGTTTTATATTGTTTCCCAAAAATACAAAATCTTGACAAGTCAGGAATCATTTTTATTTCCATCATTGTGTAGCTTCATCTAATATATTTTCAATATCATTTATATAGATAAGAAACAGCACGTGTCCCAAAACTGTGCCCTGAGGGACACCGTATTTTACAGGTAGACTAACTGATATGCAACCTTTATATTTAATTAATCAGTAAATTAACCAATGTTACGAAGAAAATGCGAAATCATTATTTTATTACATTTATTTTGATATCTATTAAATTACGGAAAAACCTAACGGTGTGAAATTACCAAAAAGGAAGGAAAATTATCGTCACCAAAATACTTTGTAAAATGACGCAATGGCAAAAAAAATGACACCCGAAGTGTGCTAGTAAGACCTTAACGTAATGACAGAAATGAGAAATTTCCATCTTCAAATTTTCCACAAAATTGCTTATCACCTATCGGCATACTGTAAAAAAATCAGAAACGAATTAAAATTATTAATTAATTACAGTAAGTAAGTTACGAAGAAAATACGATGACGGTATTTTTAGTACCGCGTGATAGCAACGAGATTTTGGAACTGTGACTTTCCTTATCTTGACTAATTAGTAATATTTCACGAAGGAATGTCAACATAGAGTAAACGAGAGTTAAAAATTTTATCTGCTGGAGGTGGCGATAATTTTGCTCTTTGGCCTTACGCCGTAGCTGGCGCCGGTTGAAGAATTTTAACCGAAAAAAAAAAATCAATATTGCCGATGTAATTACCAAAAATCATATAAAATTCCGCAAAAAGCGCATGCGACATGAGTGGGCGTTGAGTGATAAATCGACTACACGACAAGGCTTTCTAAATATAGAATTCCGATTTGTTTAAATAACGGATTTCTTATATTTCGTTCTATTTTGTCCCCGAGAGGCTTCGAAACGCTTGGATCTGGAACCGCAAAAATGAAACCAAAGCGCTCTTCCGTGCCTGACTAGCCACGTGCTGGTTATATAAAGCATACACTATTTTTAAAAATCACTTAAATTACTTAAATGCGAGCCAGTGATTAGCGTAGTGCCTGGAACTCGAAAATTGATTAATCCGGACATATTGGAAAAATGAAGGCCGCTTCACGTGTTCTTTATACCCACGGTCACTTGATAAAATAAAAAACCAAGGATATTTTTATCATTTTGGTTATAGTGTACTATACATCAAGTTTGATAAGCACCATTTTAGTCACTAGTTTGATCTCAGCAACTGAAGAAGCGTATCAATGTGTTGCAGTTGTTGAATGTAGTTTATGCAAATAGAAAATAGAGATAAATTGCTTATTAACATTATTTTTTTAACCCCTCCAAATTTGTAAATTTTCCACTTAATTTCAAATCTTCAAATAAATCAATAGTTAACAAATTAAGATTTTAAAATTTTCTAAAATCTATTGTTTTCTGAAGTTCGCACTACAAATTACTTGCTGCCTAGCAAAAACGTAGCTAAAGCCTTAGAAAAAATACGGTATTGCAACGCTGATATAATTCTTCAGTCACTCCGCTCGTGCCAAAGCAAACTCGTGGCTAAAGTGTAGTATATCAAACTACTAACAAGATGGCGAAATAACATCAGCTTGATCGTTTCCGTTGACTGATAATAACAACGTTTTCAATAAATATATTTTTTATTATTATATCGTACAAATAATAATAATAAAAATACTTAAAACGAAAAAATAAATTAAATTACAATTTTATATGTACATATCACAAATTTATATACATAGATAATTGAACCCACATTCGGCGGCCTTACTAATTATTCGATTAGAAGAAAAAAATAAATTAAGATAACTATATTAAACTTTAAGGTCAGTAACCTACAATAGGAACCGATAAATATGATTTCGAACGCGCTCATCATCCATACGCTGCAGGCGACATTACAAAAACGTAAAATTCGCCGCAGAAATACGCACTCGACACCCGTAGACGTCTACGGATTTCAGATTTCAATAGAAATGAATACTGGCGCAACACTTAAGACACTATCGAATGTTCACATACATCCGCAAGTCTCTACGATCATATTCGATAACAATTTTGTCGTTAGCGTTTTATTGCCGTCCATGTAGACCAATTGTAGAGGTTGAAACTGCGTAGCTGCGCAGCATGGAGTTAGTTCGGGTCTCGCACCTCGCTGGCTGTTTTTTCCCATAACTTTCTGCAACAAAATACGATTTACATGAAACATTTCCCTTGATGCCTCGAATAGTTTTATATCTTACCTGCAGTATACTGTTATGGTGGCTAGCACTGTTCATTATAGCTGTGGGAGTAGTACAGGATCCTCTGCAAAAGTACGCGTTGTAGCCTTCCGGCTTGATTATCCAGTCGTTCCAACCGATCTCCTCGAAGGAGACGTAGAGACTTTCTCTGCAGCATTCGTTTGGAGATACTTTGCAGTCCAGCGATCTCTTCTGTCTGCGATGCACGAATGATCTTCTTTGCTGCGAATGCGTGTAAATCACCAAGAACGGTTTAAGTTCTGGCGAAAACGACACTGGGGACTGACTCTTATCAACACCACAAGTTTTGCACACCAAATTGATAGCATGGACTGGCGAATTCTGATAATCCAACCAGTTTTTAGCGACATAGGTTACGTCTACTTTTAACCATCCTTCTGAAATGTAGACGCTGTTAAACGCTTCGTTTTGATTTAATACACGAGTGTTTTACCTGACAAACTGGTCTCCCTGATAGCGATCGGTTTGGTTTTTTGGAAACTTTTATTCGTGTCCCAGTGGGCAACTTCCGATATAACGAAAGTTTGGTTGTGCGAGTCCATTGTGTCTTTCTTTTTGTGGAACCATAACTCCGCGCTGCTCACTTCAGAGCTACGGATATCCCTGGGCATTTGGAAGGGGAGGCACGCAGAAGGAAATCGGATTTTCCTGAGGCAACGCGCTGCATCTGTAATTCAAGAGTTTTCATTCGCCTGGCGCATTCGTCAAACATTGAAGGAGATACTTTTATCAGAAAATGCTGGAAATTATTTTTGAGTTCGTAAAACGGCCGCTAGGGGGCGTATTGGTTGCGAAAAAAATAAAATCAGGATTTTCGCTACAGGTTGCATAACTAGTTCTACCATGAACAACTTTTGTATTCAAATTTTTTGGTTATCTGTTCAAATAAAGTAAAAACTTTGGTACCGCTAATAAACTTGGACTGTGATTAGTCCTTCACAAGCCTTTCTGGTTTCGTTTTTTTAAATTATACCGTCGTAGCTAGAAGGCCCTAAGTGTCGCTAACTTATTTTCGCATTTTTTCGAAAAAAAAACAAATCTAATCATATATTTATTTCCGTATAGTTTAAAATAGAATTCAATTCTACGTATTTCGCACTAAAAATGTTTACTCTAATTTGTTCAGTGGGAGATACTTTTATCCACAAATCCACAAAAAAAGGTACGCCACTGACTTTTTTTACTTTTTTTTGTTTTTTTTTATAGATCAACCAAAGAAAAATTAAACTTTTTAATGTCTTCGGTTGTTTTCACATGTTTTTTTATTTTCGAAAAATAATGGGAGGCATGATTTAAGTCCAAACAATTTTTTTAATTCTTATTCTCAAAAATGAAGGAATATACGAGAAAAATTAAAGATATAAGAAAGTGTTATTTTGGATTGCTCTATCCAAAATGTAAAAGATACTTTTATCCACGAATCCACAAAAAAAGGTAGGCCACTGACTTTTTAACCATTTTTTGTTTTTTTTTTATAGATTAACCAAAGAAAAAGTAAACTTTTTAAAGTCTTCAATTGTTTTCGTATGTTTTTTCATTGTCAAAACATAATGGGAGGCGTTATTGAAGTCCAAACATTTTTTTTTTAATTCTCGAAAACTAAGGAATAACGAGAAAAATTAAAGATATAAAAAAGTGTTATTTTGGATTGCTCTGTCCAAAAAGCAAATACAAATCACGAAAGAGTCAGCGACGTGTATTTTTTTATTTATAAACTTTATTTACAAACTATTATAAACTACTTCACTGAACAGATTTTTTTCCTGAATGCACAGATTTTAATTCTCATTTAAACTGACTAGAACCAAATGTATCATTACGCTTGATTTTTTGCAAAAAAAAAAACAAAATAAGTTAGTTTCAGTTGGCGCCATCTAGCAGCGGCGGTATAATTTAAGAAGACGCAACAAAGAAAGACCCTTATAGGGCCAGTCGCGGCCTTTCAAATAACACCAAGTTCATTAAAATCGCTTCAGCTGTACCGACGTTATGAGAATTTTTCTCAATTGAAGTTAAAACTTTGATGTTAAATTTTTTTTATCCGGTTTTTTTCGATGAAATACTATTTTTTAAAATTAGAATTGCGCCCCCTAGAGGCCACCTCACAAAATTGAAAATAACTTCCAGCATTTGGGTCTGGTTATATTTTTCTCTATGTGAACGGTTGCCCCGCTTAATTGAGTACTGTATACATTTTTTTTGGTATTTAGCCAGAAATTGAAGTATGAAAAAACAATAATCGTCAATTTGGGGTGATCTTTTGGTGTACGAACGAACACATGCGACATTAACATAACGTTTATCGTAGAATATTTGTATGCCAAGAAACTGATGAAATGTGTTTATATTTTGCGTAACCGACGACATCGTTTAATCACATCAGGATTTTACACACTGCATGTGCGCTGTCAGTGGCATTTCTTAAAAAAATTTCTACGCAGTAACTAACTAAAAAATATATTTCACTCAGTCGAGCACAGGAAAACTTTTTTATGAAATCTTTGTTGTCAAAACAAACAACATAGGGTGTCGATTTTCGATTGATTAAACCGCGGACCCTTTTCAAATTTTATCCCCGGTTCAAAGATTGTTGGAAACTTTTCGAGAAATTTTTCAATCTATGGGCAGAGGGTATTGACTAGAGAATTATTTATGTTATGATTTTGCGTTCTGAAGGGGTAAACAAAAATAACTGATTATAAAAATATTTTTATATTTCGTCGATAAAATGTAATTAAGTAAATCATGTACATTTTATTTTCGCCAAGATAAGTGCCGTTCTTATTAAATGTGTCGCGATGTAGGGTTATGTGCGTATGGAACGTAACTTTATTTACCTTCGTAGGGGAAAATAATCGCTTGAGTGGTTTTCCCGTAGAAATCATCGTCGTAGTTACTCTGCAGGTTCATATCCTGATCGGGAAGCAAACTCTCGTACTCTTTCACGGGTGTCGGTAAATCGGTGACTGATATTTGCGGCTTCTCCTTCAACCGAAGCTTCTTGAGTATTTGATTTTTGATATATTCGATACGCAAAGCGGTAAATTCGTCTTCACTTATGGAAACCATTTGCGACACGGGTTTCGGATAATCCGAATTATCGATGCCGTTATCGTATGGAAAATCTCCACCGTCACTCGTTAAATGAAACGAGGGTAGTTTATAATTGAAAATCGCACCTACGACGTACCGATCGCACCCCATTATCGATACGAGCACTAACATCAATCCCAACCGCAGTTTCATATTGATTTAATAAATTTTTGTGGGATAAGCAGCACACTCACTTGTTTACAAATTTGTTTTAAATTGATGCTGGGAACTCCACTCTTAAAACATAAACTTTACCCCACTCTTTCTTCCTTAACATTTCTGTGGTGAATGATAGATTTGAACCTTGAACCTGATATGTGTCTATCGGAACTAGAGTAGTATAGTGTAAAATTAGATATCGTACGAAGAATGTCACCGCGAGGCACGTGGAATATATATACGGATTTTGAAATATTCCTTATAAATTTTTTTGGAAATTGCGGAAGCGGTGTTACGGGCCACTCGTTAAAGCAGTGCGCAATCACATCAAATTTTCCGTTTGTCGGCTGATAATATTAACGAAATTTACATTGTCGTTCTGTTTTATCTTTGCGGAATAACCGTTAATCGAAAGATCATCGAAAATGGGCGGGAAATAAATGTATACTGAATTCGTAATGTTGCAGCATATGAACTATCGAATCGAGTGCCAGCGTTTTAGATTAGCAACTGTTTTCGAAATTCAATTCAAAAAAGTTTTTACTGCACCCATAGTTCGGGCTAAAAAATTGAGTAAAATTATAATTACAATAATCGAATAAAAATTTGATATTTGTTAAAATTACTTCATTTTTGACTAAGATAATTTTGAATAACCTTTAAACATTAAAATTGCTTTATTATTTTATGTATATTTATATTTTTAAAATATTTGTTTCAAGTATATGCAAAAAAGCCATCTTCATTTCTTAAATATTTTTGAAACTTTCATCGTCATCCTTAAAAGTTTTTTTTTTAATTTATGTTGATGCTGGTATGGCCTTGCTAATGACAAATTAATTTGATTGTAAATTCTTAACTTTATTCGTTTTCTTTGTTTTATTTATAATTACTGTAATGAAAATACCAACTTAAATTTATTTTACTTTTACTCTACTCTGTATTTTAATTTTTCTTATATATTTTTTTAAATTTTCATCGTAATTTTTAAATTTAGTGTAGCTTAGAGAGAACATTTTTTTTTATAAATAATGTTGTTTGGCAATGATATTTCAATGATAAATTAATTTTAGTGATTGTAAAATCTACGTAGGCTTTAATTTATTCATTTGAACTTCGTCTTTGTGTACGTTTTATTTCTGCAACTGTAATGAAAATAAGGAAGAATGAAATAGAATTTTTTCGATGTATTTCTGCAGGTGCTAATATAGCTATTTACATTTACGTTACTTTTACTCTACTCCTCATTTTAATTTCTGTCTTAACTTTTAAAACTTCCATCACAGACATTAAATTATTAAATTAAACTATCACGAAAAAATATTAATTTTTTAATTTGGGTGGAACTTTAGTCAGAAATATTTTATTAAAATAGTGTTATCTTTGTCTGCGTCTTATTTAATGGGATGTAATGTGAATAAGGAAAAATTAAATGGTTCGTTGGTTCAAATATGATCATGTAAATTTAATTTTCTTGTACTCTACACCGTATCTTAATTTCTTTCTTAAATAAACTTTCATCTCGCTTTACTTTCTAATGAATTATTGGTAAATTTGGTGTCAGAAGGATTTTTTTGACTGCAAAATCTTACGTATTCCTCAATTTATTTATTATTCTAATGAGTGCAAATGCTGTCGGAATTTCTTCAGTTTGATTCTATAAGTGCAAATGTACCTATTTAAATTTATTTTACTTTTATTCTACTCTGTATTTTAATTTATTTCTTTTTTTTATTTTCATTAAGCTTTACCCTATTAGACATTATTATTATTATTTTCTAATGGATTATTTTTAAATTTGATGTAGCTTAGTCGGAAGTACTTTGGTGGTAATGATATATTATTGATAAATTAATTTTAGTGATTGTAATTTATTCATTTAATCTTCGTCTTCGCCTACGTTTTATTTATGATAACTGTGATGAGAATAAGATTTTTTTTTATTTATTTAGGTGTTAATTAAATATGTTTTACTTTTTTTTACTCAATATTTTAATTTATTGCTTAAATATTTTTAAACTTTAAAGTTATCACAAAAAAACATAGTTGTCTAATAATTTTTATTTTTTTTTAGTAAAATAGTTTTAGTCGTATGACTCTTGAAAATCATATTTTATTGATAAATAAATTTTGGTGGTTGCAAATTCTTTACTACTCTTAAATTTATTCGTTTTGATATTCGACTTTGTCTACGTTTTATTTATAGCAACTATAGTGAGGATAAGAAAAAATGAAAGGGTTTGTTTTTATGGAAGAGTAGCAGCTGTCAGGATTTTTTCAATTTATTTCTATAGATGCTAGTATGCCTATTCACATTGATTTTAATTTTACTCTACGCCGTATTTTAATTACTTTAAATATTTTTAAACTTTCATCACGAAGTTATCACGAAAAATTATTATTTTCTAATGAATTATTTTTAAATTTGGATGTAGCTTGGGCAGAAGTATTTTTTTTATTTATAAATTAAATTAATAATTGTGTATTTTTACGTATTCTTCCATTCAATCGTTCGATACTCATCTTTTTCTAAGTTTTATTTATAGCCACTGTATTAAGAATAAGGAAAAATGAAATGATGAGTTTTTATAGCAGGTTTGCTTTGTAGGAATTCGATTTAATTCTGTAGAGACTAATATGTAGACATTTTTCTTTTAAATTATCACGAAAAAAATATTATTTTCTAATGAATTATTTTTAATTTTGAGCCTAGCTTAGCCAGAAGTATTGTAGTAAAATAATTTGTCTTTGTCTACGTTTTATTTATTCAAAATAAGCAAATATAAATTGGTGTGTTTTTATAGCAGATGTCGGAATTTTTGTATTTAATTCTGTAGGTTCTTATTTAAATCTATTTTACTTTACTCATTCAAACAAAGCTTCAAAACGGGTTTTTACGTCTAGTTTTTCTAATAAGTCAGCAAATAACAAAAATTATGAGATCTGTTGTGGATCTTTGCAAAGGGCTTCAATTTACATACATATATAGCATACATACATATATAGCATATACAGAATATAGACCATTTAGTTTGCAGAAAATATTTCGAATTTTTGATAACTCGTTATGAGATATCACTACCTTCTGTAGTCAAGCCACCACATGTGGGCTTTCTTTTCTTGAAATAAAACCTTGGGTACAGCCTGAAAAAATCGTCAGTAAAAACAAATTAAAAACAGATACCTACATCCGATTTTTGTTGGGCAAATTCGAAACAATATACATTTGGGAACTTGACTGTTTAAGTGCTAATACTCGTATAGAAGACGAATTCTATATATAACTATTAATGAGATAGAATCAACTTTATAATATTTATCAAAATCTGAAAATGAAGACTCAATTTTTAAAAAAATATGTTAATTAGTACCTAATGAAATAATCTGTGGATACATAAGGTCGCAACCTGTTTGCAACCTTGGTTTCGCATATTGCCGCAATAAATTTCCATTAATCATTTGATATAATCCTGTCTCCTTCACATGACCATCCAAAAAAACCAAATCGTAGCGACACAGTTTCACAATTTGACTCCAAACCGCCATCGCCATGGCCAAATGACTGGTTCACCAGTAAAATTATTTTTTAGGTGCTTAAATAAAAATATTTAAAATCAAACGGGGGCAATCTCTTTGTAATGTTTCTGAAAACCTACACGTTTGGGTCATAAACTCCAATGCATTCCAACTTATAATAATTAAAAAATTAATAAATTCCTTTTACGTCATTTAGGTATTGTAATTTGAAAGCTCAATTTTTTTACAAATAAAATGAATACTCTGATATCTTTAAAGCTCTTTATGAACGAGTCAACTTTTCTACATGAAAAACACACTCTTGTTTAGCTTTTTGAAAAACCAATCGATTTTCACTAATACTAATCAACTTTGTTTATATAATGATACAAGTTTGAACTCGTTTTAGCATCATCTTTGCTGACTTTAGCGGTTCAGTTTCAGACAAAGTTCTGGCGAGACAAGCAGGATGTTTTTCAAACATCAGTAATATTGAATTAAAATGCGACATTGTGACTAATTTTTATTACTTCAAGAGTCGAATTTATTCACCTTGAAGCTATTAATTTTGAAAATCTTTTATTTCTAAAAGCTCCACCAGTATGAACCTGGTTAACCTGAATATGTGCAAATAAACCCTATTAACCTTAAAGATGTTTGCAATATATGAATTGAATGTAAAAAGTGTGTAAAAATATTGAAAATCTGAAATTATGCAAAAAAAAACATATCTTATGGATCTGCAATTATCACACGCTTCATCGCAATTGCTGGTATATAAATATTATTTGCTTAAGACTTCATTTTTTAACAGGAAATAATACTTTTTTTTTAAGTTCAAATTTTGATGACGCAGGGTCATAATATTTTTCCGACATTTTCACTTCACGTGTCCTACTTTTCTAATAACTTTAAATAACCCTTAAAATAAAACGGAAAGGCTTTTTTAGTATAGTCATTTAGCCTTGTGATATTTAAGAGAGTATTCATTGATGAAATATTTAAAAATTATAAAAAAGTTTCTAATAAAAAAAAACATGAAAGTGGTTAACCTGAAAATGTGGAAATAAACCCTAATAATCATAAAAAATGTTTGCAATATACGAAGTGAATGTAAAAAGTCCGTAAAAATATTGAAAATCTGGAATTATACAAAAAAAATATCTTATGGATCTGCAATTATCAATTGCTTCATCGCAATCGGTTGTAGATAAATATTGTTTGCTTAAGACTTCATTTTTGTTAAATTACCACGAAATAATACTTTTTTTAAGTTCAAATTTTGATGACGCAGGGTCATAATATTTTTCCGATATTTTCACTTCACATGTCCTATTTTTCTAATAACTTTAAATAACCCTTAAAATAAAACGGAAAGGCTTTTTTAGTATACTCATTTACCCTTGTGATATTTTAGAGAGTATTCATTAATGAAATATTTAAAAATTACAAAAAAGCAAGAAAAAATGTTCCACAAATACGCAGTGAATGTAAAAAGTAGGTAAAAATATTCGTTTAAACAAAATATTGTAGATCTAGAATATTTTAAATTTATTTGATTTTTATTAATTAATAGACCACAAACGAAAAAAGTACGTTTGAAAATCACAAAATTTTATGCCCCTTACCTTTTTCTGAATATGTCAAGGTTAAAGGTCGAAAGGTTGCAAGAAAAAATGCAGCAAAATGTAAATTTTTATTTTCTTGTAAGTACGTATGTAACAATCTTAATATATACAATTTGAAGAAACACTATTTTAACCACATTTGTACCATATTTAAAAGCAATCTCTCGATTTGGTGCAAAATAGTTCATGGATTTTTTCATCTAAATTACTCTTCAGATTTGATATCAGCTGGTAAATTATATTGCACTACCATCCTGTGTTTATAAAGAAAATCACGAACCTTCTGAACTTATAACTGTTTGAAAATAGTAAATTACAACGCCTCCATCTTAATTATAACGATCGCTGTGTAATTTAGTTTATTACGTTAAATTTTTGTTTTAGTTATGAGATTCTTGCAAGTGGATGAGTATTGGTGACCAAATCAAGCATACGCCACATCTTCACTACAACTGGCCTTATCTAATATCACTTCCGTAGCCCTCACTTTCAAAACGGCCTGTCGTATACATACCCCAGGGCACTAAAACTATATCCGAAGAGTAAAAATTGCTTTCCATATTTGGACGGAATGGTTCGTCAAACTTTATTAAATTCGAAACATTTTCGGGTATCGAGTCTTCACTGTACACTAGGTTTTATTGTATTCACGTTTTTGATAGCAATTTAAACTTGGTTGGCGTGTTTTATAGGGGAAAAGGTAGTTTCTAAAGAAGCTTGATAATTGAACACCAGGCTTAATCACTAGTTTATTAAGTCATTGAAAAAATAAAACAGCTCCGGCATTTGTCAAAAGGTTGTATAAGTTAATTATAAAGAATCGTTACTGTAATTCAACTTAAATTTTATTTCTTTGGTGTGTATATTAAAAAAAATATACTTTCGTTTCAGTTTTGTAGTAAAAACTATAAACATGTTTTATATATACAGTTTTCGATACAAAAACTAAAAATGCTGATCTCGGATTTCTAATCAAAAATATCACTAAAGAAATATTATCCGAAGCATTTTCGGTTGTTGTATTGTCAAGGTTTATCCACATGTGATGTATATAATAGTAGATTACGATAAATTAGAAACATTTTACAAAAATCGGTCCAGCCAATTTTTTTTATCACTAGTCATACACACCACGCGCAGGTAGGTACGTATAGTCGAATTGAACACATCGGTTGAGAGATAAAACTAAACATCGAACTATAAACAAATTATGCTGAGAATTGTCAATCAAATTTTATTTAAAAAAAAAGGCACTATTATGGTCCCTGAGGGTGATCAAGTGCGATATAGCTCGCGATTGTAAACGGTTTTTGATCGGCTTGGTTTATCACAATTGAGGAAGATGTCGTTCTAATAAGCTTTATACGACACCCACATTTATATGGAATGTACAATTACTTCAATTCGTGCATATTTTTGCTTAAAAGGAGGTTGTTGTGAGGACCCGACAAGTGCCTTATTAATTCAGGTAAAGATTCAAACGATATAGGACAGAAACAACAATTGTAACGGCCAGAGTTACGATCATTTGACGAAATAACATTTCTATGCACGGAACACAAATGCTTCAGCAGATGTGCTTTTTGCTTGAACATGGCGACGCAGAGTCGACACGCGAACGGTTTTTCTCCCGTGTGAACTCGCAAATGAGTTTTCAGATTCCAAGACATACCAAACTGTTTCCCGCAGTATTCACACCTATATTCGCGAACTTGAACAGCCGGCAACTGCTGTTTACTTCCCGTTGGTTGGGACGAACTTTCCGCATTGTCCTCACTACTAGTATTCGTCGAATAAGTCGGCAAAACTCTAGTGTCTTCACTACCCGGAGGAATGTTCACTTGAGTTTGACATACGGACCAAGCACTCCAAGTGTGCTCGAACGACTGATAAGTATCAGATAGTAATCCTTGGTCGGCACTGGGTGGTCTATATTTTACCACGTTTTCGGACGACGATGACGTATCTGGATGAGTTCCTGGTGTAGGAGTATGAGTTCGTTCGACAACGAACGGAGGCGCCGATAAAGACAAGGGATGATGAGCTGTTAGTAACGGTGGAAGGTTCTTGTATCTATGGGTCGGGTGATGACCAGCATCATCTAAATTATAAGACGGCGAAAGTGGCACGAACGGCGGATTCTGAGCCGGGGAATTATGAAAGCCCGGTCTTCTTTTCCTGTGAGGCGTCACTACGTAATTATCAGGACTTTGTACCAGCGATATCAGTTTCGGATCGGTTATCGGCGGCTTGATGTGGGAAAATTCCTCCTGTTGCTTTAAGTCGATAGGTTCCATGTACATGCTTTTACGTTTCACCCTGTGGTGGTGGAACTGCGACAATTCGTGCACTTTGGGGGCGATTTTCACCGATGTTTGCCCGATTTTTAACACGTCCGTGTTTTTTACTTGATCCGATCGCTAAAAGAAAACCACGAATTAACAAATTGCAGCCAAATTATTATCTCCCTATTTCTACTATTTACAAATCTTTTGAATTCCTCCTGCTTGAAACTTGCTGACGTTTCAAGCAAGCATAGAAATCTATAAGGAACTAGACAATCTTAACCGCTCCTCTCATTTAGCTCCGCCCCCCTCACACAAAATATAAGCAGGTGCGGAGTAGAATGCGAACCAATTAAGCCCTGAAGAAGTCAACAGGATGATTGGCGAAACAATCGGAATTCAGAAGATTTGTAAACAGTATTACAGTAGCCTGCAGAAGTTTTTTAGAAAAAGTCCCTGTTTCTACTCAAATTTTCTTCTAGCAAAGAGAAAAACAAAACACACTACTATAATATTCTTTAAATATTATCATTCCTATTTCTTATTGATCATTTGATGGTGTTATATGCCTTTCTAAAGCCTCATATATCATGATGACCAATAATCATAAGCATTTTGAAACTTCTTTTTAACATTTACACCTCGGTTAAAATGAATTGAAAATTGAAAATGGATAAAAAGCGTTCCAAATATACCTATAGAAAATCGATAAATGCTATTCTTTTTTATATATTTTTATGCTATATATTGCGTAAAAATTGAATTTATAAAAGCACACCAAAAATATTCTGTATCTTGTAAGTTTTTTCAAATACGAAGGGTTCCCATTTTTTAACGCCGCCATATCTACGTAAGCTATGCAAATTGTGTTGACGGCATGGTTCGTTTCACGACAAAGTAGGCCACGCTTGCGAAAACCGCAATCTTTTAAATCAAATAATAATCGAAATGGCCGGTAAAAGTGGACAACCTGTACCCATCTGATGTTAAAAAAGTGTAGTGAACACTTATTTCTATAATTGTTGATTGGCATACATAAAAAAACCATAATCAACGATTTGCTTCAATAATTAATTCAAACTAATTATTTGTAATTGTAAGCGGCAAAAGACAAAAAAGGAATGAACAAAAGATATCCAGGGATATTGTATCTAAGCGGCTTTTTTTGCGTAATAAGTGATGGCAATGGTGTTTCCCGTGTTTGATTGGCTGCGTGTAACACGCAAGCGTTATTTTGTTATTTTTTATAGTTTTACAGACGACGTTACCGCTTAAATTTGAACTCCGATAATCCTAACAATGGCGTGGATTTCTTCGAAACTATGGGTTTGCAGGAATTTCGCAGGAACCTATTTATTGAATCCTTTCTGTTTAAAATCAATCAAGATACCTACAAAATTTTTGATACTCCCGAATTTTCGAAAAAAAAAGCCTTTTCGTTAATAGTTGGGCGTTTTAGAAACAAAATTTAAAAGGAAAATAAAATTTCAAAACATTTAATTGCTGCAATATGAGAATAAAAATTATTCAAAAATTCATTTTTTTTTAAGTCTTTCTACCTTCTATACAGGGTGTCCCACAAGTGCCTGTCTTACTTCTTTGTTATTAAAGATATACATTTTATTTAAAAAATATTTGAAAATAATAAAAGAATAAATTTGTGTTGGCTGTATTTTTGGATTTTAAGAGTGCTTTCGAAACAATAAGTAGAACTAGACTGTTAAGAAAATTGTACAAAACGGGTATAAAGGGAACAGCGTATAAATGGCTTTGTTTGTATTTAATAGATAGGGTACAAGAAACGAAATATAAAAATTGCATATCTGATTGCATTACTGTAAAACATGGTGTTCGTCAGGGGACATTTTTGGGACCATCTTATGTGAATAAACGATATTGTAAATATTTTAGATGATACTAAAGCGGTATTATCTGCGGACGACAATGATTTTTATTGTGGGTGAAAATGTGGATGAAATGCAAAGAAAAATGAATGCTGATCTGAAGAAGGCTTCTGAAAGGCTGTGCAATAATAACCTTTGTATAAACACGGACAAGTCAAAATTTTGTATTTTTGGTAAACGACATAAATGGTGTAAATTAAATTTCGATGTAAACATTTATATTAACAACAAAAAGATTAATTCATGAAAACGAAATTAAACATTTGGGTGTTATATTTGACTCAAATTTGACGTTTCATACAGGCGATTACGTAATGAATACATTTTCTAAAAAGATTAATGTTATATCCGGAATAGGGAAAAATTTGTCAATTGACACCAAAATATTATTGTATAACAAATTAGCTGCTCCCGATTTAGAATTTTGTTCCACACTTTTATTCAATTTGCTTAATTATAAATTACAGCAATTGCAGATTGTTCAAAATAGGGAAATGAGAAATATATTAAAGTGCAACAGATATACGCGAATTCAAAGCATATTGAGTGATCTTAATTTCTTGTCTGTAAAACAAAAAGTAATGCTTAATGTCTATGTATTTATTTTTAAAATTAAACATTGTGTTCCCAATTATGTTTGTGAAAAAGTTACCTATTTCAGAGATATTCATTCTTACAATACAAGAAACTGTGGTAATTTTATATTGAGAGAATGTCATTTTAGTCATGTACAAAACTCTATATTACGTAAAGGCCTAAACCATTTTAACAATTGACCCCATGATATTAAAAATTGTAATACTCTTAATAAATTTAAAAGACTTTTATGTATTGTCCAAATTCTAATTTGAAGACGTACTTGGTTTTGTCTTATAAACATTCGGAAAATTCAACAAACACATAACAGGAGTGAAAAAAGGAAGTTTTTTTTTTGCTCTTTTGGGAAAAGTTCAAGGTTAATTGAATTTTTCCCTTTGAAAATAAGAAAATGTTATGGCCTGTGACGTTAATTGTGGGACACCCGATAAATATAAATATATATGTTTATTTTTAAATCAAAACATTTTATTTTTGATGGCTTTAAATAATTATTTAAATTACCTCCGATCCGCTCTCGTGATCTTTAAAACAATCTTCTTTTTCTAAATTCTTTGTACTAATCGATAAATTAACAGGGTTCGAAGATTCGCTACTTTGTTCCTGGGAGCCTGTTTCGTCGGTGACGTCATCATCGTAATCCTTAATCTCCCCTTCTTCCTTCTCGTCGTCGTCAGCTTCGCGTTTGATTAACATTGATTCGGAGTTCTCACCTTCAGGAACCCAACAGCTGCTGTCGTCAGACTGAATTTTGGCCTCTTCTGAAGTAGAAGACTGCCACATATCAGATTTGATTTGAAGCAACTCGAACAGTTCCTGTATGTTTTCTAGGTCATTTGACTGAAACAAACACTGAGGTGTGAGCCGCATTGATGAATAAATGATTAATTTGAAAGTAATGAAATATACGGTAATCACTTGTCGAGAGACCAATTATTTATTATGAATCAGGAACGATGGACGACATTAGCGTTACCATAAACAAATCAATTGACATTATACATTCTAACAATCACTGTTTATTTATCATACACCAACATAAAAGTCCTGAAATCTGCAAAGTCCTTTAAACCACCAGCGGAACATGAAATCATTCGTTCATTTATTATTGCATAAGATTTTTTAATTTCTTTACTTAATTTATCTTTTATCTTTGAATATGTCTATACATATAAAAAACACTCATTTAGAGATCTCAGCATTTCCTACCAAAAAAATAATAATTTTTGTTGTCCACTGACTTTAATTTTAGAGTATATCACGCCTAACTAGATTTAAGCAAAAATTCAATAGAAAAAAGCTTTATTTCTACACAACGCAGTGCAATCAATCAATCAATTGACATTGTACATTCTAACAATCACTGTTTATTTATTATACGCCAACTTAAAAGTCCTGAAATCTGCAAAGTCCTTTAAACCATCAGCGGAACACGAATTCATTCGTTCATTTATTATTGCATAAGATTTCTTAATTTCCTTACTTAATTTATCTTCACTGCTCTTTGAATTGACTTTAATTTTAGAGTATATAACGCCTAACTAGATTTAAGCAAAAGTTCAATAGAAAAGAGCTTTATTTCTACACAACGCAGTCCAGTGAAACATTTCCAAGCAAAGCGGTAGTAAATAAAATTCAGAGAACCATGTTACACAAAGTTAGTAGTAAAATCGCGAGAAATTGAACTTTTCTAAGCAGTTAAACCCGAAATAAGCAAAAATAATTGCAACCTTAAGATCTACAAACTTGTAATTATATAGCAATTTTTTTATAACTCTCTTAGTATTTTTCTATCTAGCAAGCAAGTAGTTTTTAAGATAATTAGCAAATTCTCTTTATGTCACTAATGTGCAAATTTTAATTGAATATGTCCAAGACCCTACCACATAATCGTAAACATTCCCCATAAGCATTTCTCTCTATTTTGCGCAATTGTGGATAACTATATGAACAACTAAAAATCGAACGGTGAAAAATTATCCGCTACCTCAAAACTAGCTAGTTATGTCATTTTTTGAAATTTGAAAAAAAGCAATGGCGCACCATTTTTCTTTCTCAGAAACTTAACTCAATTACGCCATATCTACGCGAATAATTAAGTCAAAAAAATATTCCAGAGAGAAGATAAATTCTACATGAAAAAAAAAGAACATTTTTCAAAAATCGCGCATCGTTTTCGAGAACAAAATATAAACTAATTGATTGAATGTCCCAAGATTTTTAATGCAATTTTAATCTAGTTATGGACAAATTAGCCTCTTATCACTACACATAAAACCGCCACATTGCAAGAAATAACGGTTATTAAAACTACTAATAAAAACCCGATTAGAACTTGTTGCCAATTAGCAACATGCAATAATTTTTTATCTCGAAAACAAAGCAAGATACGAAAAAAATCCATTGGCTTAATTAAAAAAAAGAAGGTAAAAAAGTCAAAAATATTGTCAGGACGCTGCTATAATTCATAGTTTTAATTTAATTAATCCTAAATGAGCCTTTTGTCACGACACACAACAAAATCGGTAGAAGGATATTTAAGATATTTATTAAAAACCCTTTTTTAAGTGACACCCTGTATCTTGAAAACTATGTATGTTCGAACCCATGTTCATATGAGTGACACCCTGTATAGGCCCTTAAGATTATAAAGCGTTCCGGAAATATAAATAAAAATGGATAATAACGAGTATTATTAATTATCTCCAAAAATATTATCACTTGTTGGTCGTAAATGACTAGACCCTGTACAAATAATAATAATTTCTCGACATGGAGAAGATCTATGATTTCGTCAACTCCAAGATAAATAATGCGCAATGCTGTTTTATAGTATCGACATCTGTTAGCATTTCCATTGGCTAGTAAATCATATTTTAGAGGAGCAAATTACAAAAACGTAGTAAAAATGAAGTACTTTGTAGTCACTGGTTAATTCTTCTAAGTTCTACTCTGGTATTTAAATGATTTAAGTTCTGCTCTGTTGTATTTACCTTAATGCAAGCTTGTCCGTTGTATAAAAAATCCAAGAGATGCCTTAGATGATTGCTTTTAATTCCGGGAAGTAAGACAACGCTGGGACCGTGTGCATGGACGTTTTCCCCCAAAATGCGTCGAACCAGCGGACTTGCGGTGGCCATGATGAGCTTGTGGGCACTCAGGGTTGTTTTATCGTCGCAGATGAATGTCATGTCAGCAAAGTTCTCTGATGCAAAGCAGGTTTTAATTTCATCTACTATCGTTGCATGGTGTTTACCGTAGTGTAAGGTTAACAGACCATGAGAATCTTGTTCCTCTGAGTACATGGCGAATGGTTTCTACTGACAGAAGCACCTATGAACAATGAAAACAATATACGATTGTAGTGGAACACCATGCAATAATAGAGTTATGTGCGCAACAAATCGAATAAGGTTTATTAAGGTTTTTATGGACCCGACTCTGTAAAATGCACAATCCCTCTTTTGTTTCGACAGTCGTGGGTCTCGTCGTAAACTCTTTCCCTTTTTTTCTCTCTTTTTTTTCTCTCCACGTAAAGTTGCACGGACCCTTTTTACGACTGTTTCGTTTTTGTTCGACATGCAAAAGGTGGCCTCCAAAACGAAAATCGAAAACATGAAACGTGATTTAATGGATATATTGTAACAATGTCTCAGACTTAACGCAATATTTGAAATTGCGTTAATATTAAACATAAACGATGCAAAAAGCCAATCGACTCGCCTCGTATAGCGTTAACCAAACATAGAGTGGTATGGCCTAACAAAATTTAACCAAATTAACACTATAAAAACAAAATGTCCTTCAATTCATGCAGAGCAACGACTACCAAGTCAGGCGACAGGGTCGGATTAAGCTAACGATGCCATCTAATCCAAGTCGATTTTTGGGCCGTATAAAAAAATTTATACTTTTGACACCAGGAATTGGTTTAGACCTGTATTCCGAAATGAAAGAAAAGAAAAACCTTCTCAAAGTTGCTACCTATTTGTTGTGTACTCTTGATTGTTATTTGACACCAAGAATGTATTTTGTACGTGCTTCCCAGAGGCTGAAAGTCGTGTTTTATAACTTATCAAAATAAGTGTCACACAGCTACAAGGAAATGGTTAATTAAACATTAGATTACGTAAAACTATTACACTTTAACAAATATTCTAATCCAAATCAATAGAAATTGCCAGACGAATATTACTAAAGAACACTGTTCTCAGGGAAGCAAGGACTACGAAAGTATATTATTTACTTGAAAGCTTAAAAAGATGTCGATTTTTAGAGGTGTGAACAAAGCAAGACTCAGTTTATAGCCCGTAATGGTCATGAATTTAAACCGAAAAGCGAAAATAATACAATTCCATACTTTTCAAGCAGTCCACATTGACATATCCACGATTAAGCGCCTATTGTGTTTAAAAGTTAAATACTCAGTAATTGCTAACATATTCAAATGCGAGCAATTGATCGCGTCGGAGCGTTTTGCTTGTACGTTTATGATTCAAGGTTTTTTTTTCATAAATTATGCCTGCCCATGGTTTTCGAATGTACGTAAGAAGAATTTTCTTGCGAGTGCTCTTTGTCTTTGCATATAGAGACCAAATGTTTAGAAAGCTCTTTGCGCACGTCTATACGGAGTTTTGATATTTACTTTTGCACCCTTTGCGGAGTCATGCCGTAAGTTTCTTGTGTTTCATGACCCTTAAAAGTTATCCAAAAAAATATCTTTTATTTTAAATCTCTTTTATAGGTACATACCTAATGTTTGTAACATTATGATGATGATAAATGATATCTTTTAAATTTAAATGTAATTAACATATATAAAAACAACTTCGTCATTTATTCGTCAAGTATGATCTGACATTATTATTTATTTAAACGAACTTTTCACAAAGCTAATCAAGCGTCGCCTTAAAAATATTCAGGTACAGCGTCTAATATATAAAATAAATAGACGTTTCCACTTGAAAGGGCTTGTTAGCTCGCAACCCTTTTCGCTAATGTAAATATTTAGGGGGATTTTTAGCGCGTCTTGGGCGGAGAGAAGTTTTTAGAAATACGAAACCCTTGAGAAAAGGTTAATTAGCGGTGATTCTTTTAAAATTTATAGCTAGACCATGGCAAACTTAAAAATTGTACCTAAATTATCGATCGATTATCGAAAACTTTAAATAAAGGCATTAAACACGAAATTTAAACCCAAAGCATTAAACCAACCAAAAGTTTCTTCAATAAATACCCCCCTTATAAACCCCCGTCCAAAATGGTACAAAATCGAGAGGTTTTATTTCTTTTCTGAGAAGCGGAACATTATTGTGCAAAAAGTGAAAGTGCAAACCACCATAGAAGGTTGCCATGCAAAACCGAAAGGGATTTTAATTGTCCGAGGGATAATCAAAGCTTTTAGCACTAAGACCCTAACATAAATAAGCCGCAAAAAAAGGGTCCTTGAAGTGGACATTGCGACAGCCAATTTGACTTTCTACACGCAAGTTTTACATCGCGTAAACTCACGAAACAAAGGAACGCCGTGAACAGAAAAGGAGGCAAAATGAAAATATCATTTTATAATGAGACATTTGCCTGTAATTTATAATCCGACTGGTGCTTAACTTGTTTCCATTTTCAAATAAACGGTATACGAAATATCAAGCGAAAAACTGAACCTTTCACTTCCAAGGTTTTTCAGCCACCTAAACTGAAGTAAAGGTCTTTTATTCTTGCGGATTCGGTAATATCACTTTCAAATTTCCAATGTTACTTTTGTGGCGCTCAAAAGTATGCCTCGCGAATGCGATTCCAGAAAAACTCCGTCGAAAGTTTTTACGTAATTCTAGTAAAAGTGGATAATATAGTTTCGAAACAGCTCGGGCAATTTCGACCCCGAACGAAATCCAATAAGAAAATCGACGAAAGCTCAGTTTTTTGAATGTTGCATTACGCCACTGGTTTTATAGGTCGACTATTTAAAATCTGTCCCGCATAATTAGCCCGTCGCTGGACACAACTAGGAATTGGATAAAAATACAATCCACGCAGTCGGCGACTTAAAATACAATGTAATGTATTTGTATATTCATATATGCACAGCATACGCGTTACGCAATAGAAAAGCGAAGCGATAGCTATTAGACGTAATACAGTCGGTTGTAATGAGGGAAAAGTAGATCAGGTTTAGATAAAGTTTTACAATAATCGACAGGGGGTGGGGGAGGCGCCTTTAATTGGGGATAATTCGGTTAATTACGCTGTAGGAAATAACGCGTTCCACCTGTATACAAGATGGAATGGTCGGCCGGCAGTTGGTGACCTTACTGTCAGTAAAAAAAAATATTAGAAGGTTGAATTTAATTATCTCCAAGTTACTGGAGCCTCTCGTTGTCAGTCACGTTATATTCTTGAAATTTTTTCGTGAAATCAGCTATTCTGAAAATGCGTACCGCGAGAGTTTGCATTTAATCCGGCAATATGATACCCTCGGTAAGCGAAATATCCCGAGAGCTTTTCGCTTGCGACGTTGTTTTAATTCCAGCTGCAACGTAGGTATTATATAATGATAATAATAATTATTATATTCGCGTCGCGTGAGGACGAGCGAAGAAAAAAAAAACATAGCTCCAGGAAGTGGGTCAGTTTCTTCGACCACGGCCCAGTATTTTTCATTTTCCAAATGCTAAACGTGACGTAATAAGTAGAAATTCGAATTACGTAACTGTCGAAAACGATGTATTTTTGCACTACACGTGTACATGCGTCGCGACAATGCGCAAGGGGGTGCGAAATATCATCGTAACAGGTGGTTGAAAGTAAAAAATAATCGACACTCGACGTGATACTCACCCCCCAGGATAGAAAAAAAACCGAAGCGTATTCCTAAATGAGTAGGGCACTAGCAGCAGCGTAACCCAAAGGGTAGTCGTAATCACAGGAAACACCACCGAACCACAGAGCCATTGCTTAACACAAAACACTGCCACTATCCGCCGCGTGTCTTAGTCGAGTATATTATTTTTGGGACACAAGTTTTCAGTGCGCTGGGTTGCTTAACAAATGAAAGTAAAAGTGAACGAACATAAGCCTTCACAATACCGCCAAAGAAAACGCGAGCCGTATCCATTCAACTCGGTTCCCTAAAGTCCTGAAATCTAAATCGCGCCGACCGAAAGTCGACGTCGTTATAAATTAACGCAAAGCTGGAATAAGTTAGTTTTACAGGATGGCACTTCGTTAATTTTAAATTTCTTTCTTTACTTTCCCCTCTTTTCTTTCTCCCACTCTGGTTTTTCCTATCCTTAGCGCGTTCTTTCTTTGCCGATTTCAAGGCCGCGCGATGCAGGCGCGGCTTATTTTCATTCCGCTCTTTCCGACTACATACCAGAGTTCGCGATCTACAGGATGAATGAGGTCTCTTGGGAGCATTAAAGGGATTATAAACCGGCACTGTTGTAATTTCGCATCGCCTGCGTCGCCGATAGTCTGTTTTGTAGCAAGCAGCATTCATATGCTTTCACCAATTTAGCCAAGGAGACTCGTCTCGGGGCCCACGTGGGGCTACAGTCCGACCGGACTTTCACAATGTTGCGGAGAGAGGGGGGGACTTGTTGTATAATACTCATGTAATAACAATCCTGCAATATGACTGATCTTGGGAGCAAAACTATATTGCTGCTATTAAATTTTTATTATTCGCTCTCTCTGTCTCATTCGGATTTGTTTATACAGGATACTCGGACGTATCGCTCGTTATGCGCTGGGAACGTTTGGCCAAAAGTACGATATTGCCGAAAATTAAATCGCTGCCATGTACGGTCGTTTATGTTGAGGTAACTTTTAAGACCAAGGGAAAGTGTTAATATTTTACTACTTTCACTATCGCGTAATATGTGTCTGGTCCCTGGTAGACAATTAAGCATCGGCCTCGAAATTAAATACTTAATCATAATACCCGATATTGTGTCCTCCATTATTGCACAAGGAAAATCAATAAAAATCGTTATAAATTGATTTAATAAAATCACAACCGTGTGGATGTTCACGTTCGTTTTTTCCCTGTTATTATTTATGCGGCTGTTTAAAATAGGTTTAGGTTTTTCGTGGAAACCATTAAAAACAAGCACTTGTTACGTCCGATTCGATTACTGCACTGTATCAACTATTTTCTACTTGTTCGTCTTATTTGATTGATTTTATTGGTATGGGCAGGGGTAAACCTACCTACACATATCTAATACAGTTAAAAACGAAGATTAAAAAGTAACATATCAATTTTTTAAGCGTCTGAAATAGTTACATGTAATAAACGAAGTTGCCATATTTTTAGACCTCCCATTTATTAATATTATTATTATCAATATCTGAAATAGTATGTAATATATTATAATATTGACTATATGATAACAATATAACTATATAGGAGGGTATCAACTGGTTTTAAATGAAGACAAGAAATCTCGTTAACGGAAAACATGAAGATTACTTATATTTAACTAAGATTCAGGCAGAAATAAAGTGTAACATTTTTTTAACCTTTGGAACAGTACGAGGAAATAAATGATGATGTCATGAAATAATATTGAGTGATTTTAAATCGAGACATGTGTACAGGTTTACTGGTTCATACATATTGATTTTCAAAAAAGTTTTCCTGGTATCAAATTATCGAAAAACATAAAGATTGCCCTTTAGGCGAACTGACTAGTAAATTCAATACTTATTAAAGACTCAGAAAGCAATAAAGTGTAACATATCATGTTTTTAAGCATGTGAAATAGTTAGATATAATAAATGATGTTGCGATATTTTTAGACAACCTATTTATTAATATCTAATATTACTATTAATAATATCTAATATAATATATTATATTATTGACTATATGATCCCAACATAACTTCATAGAAGAATATTAAGAATATTAATGAACACATGTTTACATACATTCATAAAAAAATCATATTAACGAAAAACATAAAGATTGCAATTTAGGCGAACTGCCTAGAAAATTGAATACTTTACTAAGACTTAGAAACCAATAAAGTGTAAAATATCTTTTTTTTTATATCTTAAACAGTACTAAACAGTAAACCATGATGTCATAGAATGATATTAAGTAATTTTAAATCAAGATACACAATAAAGTGTAACATGTCATTTTTTTAAGCATCTGAAACAGTTAGAGATATTAAATGATGTTGCCATATTTTTAGACATCCTATTTATTAATATCTAATATTATTATTATTAATATCTAATATAATACATTATATTATTGACTATATGATTCCAACGTAACTTCATAGGAGAATATTAAGTGGTTTTAAATGAACACATGTTTACATACATTTATAAAAATTTTCCTGGAATCATGTTAACAAAAAACATAAAGAGTGCAGTTTAGGCAAACTGTCTAGTAAATTGAATACTTAACTAAGTCTTAGAAAACAATAAAGTGTAACATATCTTTTTTTAATATCTTAAACAATACGAGACAGTAAACGATGATGTCATAGAATGATATTAAGTAATTTTAAATAAAGATAGACAATAAAGTGTAAATGTCATTTTTTTAAGCATCTGAAATAGTTATGGATAATAAATGATGTTGCGATATTTTTAGACATCCTATTTATTAATATCTAATATTATTATTATTAATACTTAATATAATATATTATAATATTGACTATATGATTCCAACGACAACTTCAAAAGAGAATATTAAGTGGTTTTAAATGAACACAACATACATTCATAAACACTTTCCTGGAATCATGTTAACGAAAAACATAAATATTGCAAACTAGGCGGACTGTCTAGTAAATTAAATACCTAACTAAGACTTAGAAAGTAATAAAGTGTAACATATCATTTTTTTAAGCATCTGAAATAGTTACAGATAATAAATGATGTTGCTATATTTTCAGAAGTCGCATTTATTAATACACAGTATTATTATTATTTATTATTATTATTATTATTATTTATTATTATTATTATTAATATCTAATGCAATTAATAATATATCATAATATTGACTGTATGATCCCAACGTAACTTTAAAGCAGGATATTAAGTAGTTTTAAATGAACACATGTTCACATACATTCATAAAAATTTTCCTGGAATTATGTTAACGAAAAACAAAGATTGCTCTTTGGGCGAACTGACTGGTCAATTAAATACATAACTAAGACTCTAAAATAGTACGAGATTAATAAACGATGATGTCATAAAATGATATTAAGTGATTTTAGATCAAGACAAGCAGTAAAGTGTAATATATCATTTTTTTAAGCAACTGAGATAGTAGGAGGATGTCATATTTTTAGACATCCCATTCACAAAAATAGGGATTTTTTAATTGATCTATTAATAACTATATAATGATTTAGCTATACAGGGTATTTCTGAAGTACATGACCCCAACATAACTTTATAGGGGGTATTGAGTGATTTTAAATCAAGACATGTGTAAAGCGTTACTGATTCATACATACTGATCTTCAAAAAAAGTTCTCCTGGAATCATGTCAACGAAAAACATAGGCGAACTGTTTTATAAATTGTAACTAAGATTCAGAAAGAAATAAAGTGTAACATATCATTTTTTTAACAAATGATGGTGACATGTTTTTAGACATGCCATTCACCAAAATACTGATTATTTAATTGATCTATTGATATATATATACAATGATTTGACTATACAGGGTGTTTCTTGAATAGACGGCCCTATGTAACCTCTTAGGAGGATATTAAGTGATTTATTTATATCAGGACTTGTGTACATGGATACTGATTCTTACATATTGATATTCAAAATTTTTTTTTTGGAATCATGTTAACAAAAAATATAAAGATTACCTTTTAGGTGAACCGTTTAGCAAATTGAATACTTAACTAAGATTCGGAAAGCAATAGAATGTAAAATTATTATCTTTTTTTTAAAACCTGAAACAGTACGAGGTAATAAATAATTTCTTATTTTTATACATCCCGTTCACCATAATACTGATTATTTAATTGACCTACTAATATTTATACAATGATCTACCTATACAGGATGGTTCTATAGGATATTAGGCTATATTAAGGATATTAAGTGATTTCAGATCAAAATATGTATAACAGGTCGTTTGCTGTTGTTTTAGGCAAACATCTCTTATACGAATGTACTATAAAAATGTTGGAATAATTGTGAAACTACGAAATTTTTTGAAGTGTCTTGAGCATTTTAGGGTTTGCATTTTAGGTATTTTAGAGTAATTTAACATAATTTTTTATAGAGAATGTCTGAAACATTGCAGAAAAAAAAGTTGTATTTGCTTTAGTTTTTAAATTAGTATAGTCCTATTATGGCCGGATTTCTAAGAAGAAAAATTAGAATATCTCAACGACTGTTCACATTCGTATAAGGCATGTTTGAACTTAAAGAACTGCAACACACACTTCAAAAATGTTTTTTCTCAAACTGGGTGTTAAATTTTAGAAAACTAATTTTTGTAAAGATTGTATTATATGTCAATGATTAATTTTTTATTTTTTTGTAATTTTTTCAAATTACCTTTTGAATTCCTCAACTTTTTTTCGCTTTTCGCTTTCTTTTTCAAGATAAAAATATAAAAATCTAGCATTAGTAAGGCGCTTCTGTAGTGCTTCCAAATTACGAACAAACACTTGTATTTTTAGTTGCCTAATACTAGAAAGAAACAGTTTAAAAAAGTTAATAACGCTTGCACTTTGTTTTCATTTTCATTTCTTTAACTTTTCTTTGTGTTCCACCCATTTTTTATATTTTTATATACATTATCTTCACCTGTATGTTACGAGTTAGTACAATTTTTCTGTTTTTGTGCCGCTGTCGATCTTGCTCCTAACACAAGTCCTGCTTTGTAGTAGTCATAGTAGTAGTGCATACTTTATTGGAATTTCTAGATAAATAAAAAAAATAATGATTTATGATAATGACTAGACTTGTGAATTTCCTCGAATTTCATGATCTTGATAAGACTTATTTTTTAATTAGTTTTGGTTAGTTTGTTGCTGCTGCATTAAATACGAACCAACAAACTAACCAAAACTAATGCCTTGGGTGTTGTAATCGCTAAAAATTTGTTTATAAGGTGAAACTTGGTTGTAAGCAGGCCGAATTGTCTTATGAAGCAGTGGTTAAGTAAAGCGTAATTAAAAAAAGAAAAACAAAACTAACTAGAGCTTCAGTAAACCTAAATTGACATCAATTAATATCTAAAATAACTACTTATTCATTTTTATTTTATTCATTTTCTCGTTCTTACTTTTTTTACATCACAGCGTCCAAATTGAAATAAGAGGCTGCCGAACCGTAGCTGGAACACGCTAAATAATTGACGCAATTTGTGACGTCAGAATATTAGGAGTCTGTGTATAATCTAACCTCTGTTTTTGAAGGATCGATGCCGCTAAGAGATTTTAGGTTTTAACCAAGTGCCATGTTGGCAATTTCTATAAAATTTATGTTGGCCACAATGGATTAATGGCAGTTGATGAAAATTGTCGGTGAATATGCAGTTGTTATTCGGTTTCTGCTAAAAAATTGTTTAAAGATATAATATGAAACACGAATTTGTTAAGAGAAACTAAATAGTCCCTAGATATATTTTGTTTCGTAGCGAAGCGACTTTTTCATTAATAACAAAATAAAGAAGCCTTTAGTATACTGATAAGTAAAAATGGCAGCCTTACCACGCAGAATAATCAAAGAAACCCAAAGATTAATGCAAGAACCAGTGCCTGGTATCAGCGCTGTACCCGACGATAGCAACGCACGTTATTTCCATGTAATTGTTACGGGCCCCGAAGATTCACCATTTGAAGGAGGCCTTTTTAAACTAGAACTGTTCCTCCCAGAAGACTACCCGATGTCAGCACCAAAAGTGAGATTTATAACAAAAATATATCATCCTAATATTGATAGACTTGGTAGAATTTGTCTTGATATTCTAAAAGACAAATGGAGTCCAGCATTACAAATTCGTACTGTATTGTTGTCAATTCAGGCTTTATTAAGTGCTCCAAATCCAGATGATCCTTTAGCGAATGATGTCGCTGAATTATGGAAGATAAATGAATCCGAAGCTATAAGAAATGCCAAGGAGTGGACACGCAGATATGCAATGGACAATTAATTGCGCTTGGCAATTGTGTTCTGGTAACTAACATCAATATTCTACTTTTATTTTTTTTTAATTATTAATTTATCACAATAAAGTAGAATTATTGTGTTTCTTACTAGTCATAGTTGTTTGTATTCACCATTTCCTTGCAAGTTGAACATTTTGGAATTACTAGTTCTGTTTAGTTGTATAATTTTTTATGAAAATACAATATTTCCCTATAAGATCATTAATGCTATATGATTTTAAGTATTTTTCAAATTATTTTGGTTACATAAAATATGATTTATTAATAACATATGAAAATGGTTTTAAACCAGTAATTAAAGAAATTTATGCTTCACATATGTACAATTTAGCGTTAATTCTGTGCTTAGTTCCACAAGAATTACCGATTTGTAGCATTGTAAATAATGGTATGTAAGGCTTTATACGAACAATAAACTCATTTCTTTGATTTCATCTTGTAAATTTCATTTCTAAATGGTTGCAACACAAATGGAGTACATTTTAAAAGTAGTAAAGGAAAAAATGTGGTGAACAACAAAAAAGGCATTAGTAGCAAATTTATTGACAAAATGATTTGATAAAATTACATAAAGGAACAACATTCACACTCTTAGTCAAATAGCAAATAGTCATCAGTTTGTGTGGATTTATCAACATAAGTTTTTACTTTTGCCTGATGATGTATTGTATTTACAGACCTGACAACTTCAATACTAGTAGTTGGACCAGCAATTGGTAATCTATGGGGTACATATAATTCTGACAATTCTCTAATAGGTCTTCGGCACTTTATATCTATCAGCTTTTGGCGTTTGTACTGATGAAGTTCATAGGAGTCATCTGAATCAGAGTGGTTTCTCTTAAAACTGTTAGAAAGTTTATCACAAATATTTGGGTCGCTATTGGAGGTAATACCTTGCATAATTTTTTTAACAATTTTTGTCACGGATGACCACAAAGTGGTTTCAGTCATTGAACTGCTCTCCAAAAATCCATTAGTTTTTAGTTTGTTATCAGGCCTCTCTAGAACTTGAGAAGTACTGTATTCTTTCTGGCAATCTAATTTCTCGTTTTTACTAGGGCCTGCTGTCAGTTGAATTGGTTTCTGCATAATCAAGGTTTTTGTGTTTTGCATGTGTTCAGTAGTGACTCCTTCCACATTATGAACAAATATTTCTGTATTCTGCCCAACAATTTCTGCTTTCAAAATGTTGCTTTCTTTCAGCAAATTGGATGAAATTGGTGTAGAGGATAGGTGAACGGGAAATTGTAATTTCACATGAAAATTACTTCTTTTTATTATTGGGGTGGGACGCAAGATGTTAGTTGTACTTCCAGGCGGCGAATCAACAATATTTAGGGGTTTATTTTCTGTATCTGAACAATCACCATCTACAAAGTCAATAACAAACACACAAGCTAATTTTTTTCCATAAATATACCTGATAAATTTATTGCACTTAACCATAGAGTGTTACATTCCTTGTCATCCCCTCTAAGTGCTTTGGCCATAACTTCAGTGTCCTCATGAGTTAAAGATGTAGGGATACCAGTGTTTTCCTTTTCACCATTTTCTTGTTCTTCAGGATCATTCTTAAAAACTTTTCTCATATATTCAGATTCTAAGACTGGTCAAACCATGAAACTCAATTATAATCACAAAAAAGAATTATTTATTTTATTACCGGGCGTGTTTTCCAGGCATTGTAATTCCCTCTTGATTCTATTCTCATTTCTGACCGACATTTCTGATTTTGCGGTGTAGAATGGAGTGACTAAAGTGAAAATGATATATCAATATAATTAAAAAATATATAACGCAGCTTACCTTGAGGACTGCTACTCAATAGATTCTTTTGTGGGGTGTTTTTATTAGCTGGCAATTCTGGAACAAAGTAAACATTATTTGCGTATGAAAAAGTAATTAAAGTAGTGAGATTATTTTTTTTATCGTCTCAGCCTATTTTGTTTATTGCCAAAATTAACGGATATTTCTTACTCGTGTTATGGTTCAAATCAATTGGTGTTTCGGAAAATGTAACTCTTCTCTTCGAAATTTGTGCAGAACGATTTTCTGAATCAGGCTTCTTAATAATACTTTTATTCTCCACACACGGCGTGGTATCTTTTTTAAAAGTTTTATTATTAGCCGCGTATTCACATTTTTCCACTGGAGTACTAGTAACTACCTTTGAAACGTAATTCGTATCGTCTTTTCTTTGTTGTTCTGAGAAAATTGGCGAATCCTGATCATGAGTAGAAATCAAAATGCCAGCTAGCGCTTTGGTGAAAGGAGTTTTTGGAGAATTTTCTGAATATTGACTAGCCGGGCATATATTATGTTGTAAAAGTTCTTCTGTTAAATTAAACACTTCTTTGCAATAAATGCAATAGAGAGGCCAATGCTTAGATTTTAAATGTTCAATTATACTTTGGTCTTTGTTTTTTAATATTAAACAGCCGTATACGCAAATTTCGCAGTCGGGATTTACATCGTGAACAGCTTTTTCGTGTTTTTTTCGACACCGTACGCAACAAAACACTTTACGGCACAGCCGACAATTGTTCTAAAAAATACGTATCAAATAGAGTATTTTAAAAATGTTATGCTCACTTCATCAAAACGAGGCATTCAACTCCGTCTAGAAACACTTACTACCTTACACATTTTAACAACAAAAATAAAGTTAAACGAAAAGGATTTTGGGAACAAAAAAATTAACGACAAAAAACAAGTAAGATGACGAATAATTTCAATTATTTATACATACCGCGAATTAAAAATTTCTTCAAAAGCTTTTTTCAACATAATCGTCAATAATTTTTGTGCTTTGGTCGCACCGAATCCGAAATTAAGTTCCGTTTTGTTAATAAGTTCTCAAAATAACGAATTGAATGTTTTTTCGAAAGTGGGCTAGTATACATTTTGTATTTGGTGTTGCCTACCTTCATACATGGCAATTTTTCCTAATAGGCTGGCTTGAACATTTTTTAGGACCCTTTCGGCTTAGTTGCTTCGTAAAATATACAAATTAAAAAACAATGAAATATATAAACATATATTATTTAGATAATGTAACATTAATAATTTTTTAAATAATCAATTTAACTTTGTTTAAAATCTGGTAAAGTAAAACATAAATGTTTACCAAACAAACAAACGTTCAGAATCCTGGTATTTCAGTTCATCTACTTGATTGTTGTTGATCCAATCTTCAATTTCTTCAACTCTGAAAAACAAGAAAATGTTATTACTGATTTAGTTGCTTTGTTGTGGATGCCACATACGTCCTGGGCACACATGTTAAATTCAAAACTCCATTTTCTGTGATCAATACATCATCTTCTATGCGTACACCTCCAAATCCTCTGAAACGCTCTAAAACCTCTGGCACCAAATACTGCGACAGCTTTTCATCCTGCAGCGCTTTATCTAGCAGCTAAAATACTAAATTCTACAAGTCCATTCAACAAATTATTACAGAAATGTTACAGGATCGATAAAGTAACATCCAGGTTCAATAGTTAGTACCATGTTTGCTTCTAAAACTCTTGCAGTTCTCAGTTTGTTTAATCCTAGCTTTTCAGGTCTCTTTGGGTTTGAAGCCAAATAACCGCCAACATCATGAACATCTACAAGAATACAGGGTTCTCATGAAGCATAAGACAAAAAGAGTAATTTAGCAAGCAAATTCTTGAAAAAAGGCGAAAAAAAATTTTTCTTGCCTTTTTTATTTTGTATATGCTAATGAGTTATTAAGGCAATAATTGGGACTGATTTTGAAGGTTTTCTTTGGCTCTCTTTGTCATTTAGTTTTATTTCATTTCGAGTTTCCGACGTCTTTTTTGTACCGAAACTTCCACGTGATTCATATAACATTGAAGAAACGTGAAAATTAGATTTCCAAAACAACTAACAAGTACTACTTAATTAAAATAATATAATATAATTTATTTTGTAAAGAAGCGTAGGAAAAAGATGTTTGTCTGCGTTTGCCATGTTCCTATTTAAGATTTAACATTTTCTGGTAGATACTATACGGATGGTTAGTTTAGATTCTAAGAAAATAACTTTTTTGAATTATGGCAATGACATTAAAAAATATTTTATAATTATTCAAGAGTAGTTATTTGCTAAACAAGTGCAAAATTTTATATTTCTACAATTATCTTTAAAGTCTTATGTCTGCTTGACGTCAATTATCGGGTAAAACCCACTCAATAGTCACGTGAGAAGCATGTTACAGTTTAACTTACCTAAGCCCATTAAATGGCCTAATCCATGGGGTTGAAAGATTGCAGCCAAACCACTTTCTATCATATCATCCAGGTTGCCTTTAAGCAATCCTATTGTTTTCATTTCCTTCAACATCACACGATTAGCAAGTAGATGCATATCAACCCAGGATACCCCAGGTTTGGCAGCCTTTTGCACAGCGAAGTTTGCTTTGAGTACGGCTTCATATATAAGCCTCTGGTCGTCAGTGAATTTACCATTAGCGGGAAAGGTGCATGTTATATCAGCTGCATAACCAAAATAATTTGCCCCCATATCAAACAAACTAAATAAAAAAGAATTTCGTTATCGCGACACACAACAAATTCCCTTTGCTGACCACAAAACACCATCTTGGATTGGGGATTTATTTGGAGCACCAGCATGACCGTAATGCAGAATTGCACCATTAACCCCGGAGCCACATATACACGTATAAGATGCATGTCGGCAACCTCCTTTCTTGTAACAAATATTAAGAAACTCAGACTCTGCTTGATATTCCCAATCACCCGGTTTTATCATCTTCATAATACGGCGATGTGCATAAGAGGAAACGGCCACTACATATTTGATCACTCTTATTTCCAGAGGGGTTTTGTAGACTCTCCTGTAATCAATCATACAACATTAATATTGCATTATCAATATATTAATTCTGAGACTTACAGATCAGCTATAACAGGAAACAGTGACTCCTCATCAATTTTAAACCTAAAACTTAATAATTTTTAAAAGTACTTAACATCATTTAATAAAACAAACTCTTCAATCCCAGGAAATCTTGCAGGTTTGGCTGTAAGATGACTATCAGTATTTAACCCTTTCTAAAACAATACAAAGGAGACAATTTATAAATCTATAAAGTGTGTTTGATATAAGGATGGGATAGCATGAGGATATCAAGAAGCATAGGATGGGATAAATTCAAAAAAATTTAAAACGTTGGATTTTCTACTTTTGTCTTTAAAGCCCAAAATAAGAAATATATGATGACCTAAAGGTAAACAATTTTTTTTTTATTCGTTTTTAGGATACACCATAGATTTTTAAAATTTCTTCTAAGCGCCATATTAAATATTTTCATTATTAGATAGAGCATAAAAAATGATTTTAACTGATGTGTCATATGGTGCATTTAGGGTCACAAAAGTAAAATTTGATTTTTTTCTAGTAGGCCAGGATCCCTGTTAACAGACATTCAGAAAAATAAAACTTTTGACAGTCCAATTAAATTAGAGCTTTTCATGAATTTTAATTATTTTTTACTCCAATATAGTTAGTAATCAAAAAAATTGTTTGGAATTTTTTACACTATTGATTTTTGAATTTCAATAAATTTAGTCCTAGTTCAGCATATGGGATCAGTGGACTGCCAAAATTTTTGTTTTTCCAAGTGTCTGTTGATAGCGATCCTGGCCTACTATAAAAAAATCAATTTTTGATTTTGTGACCCTAAAAGTGATGAAAAATGTGCTACACCATTTAAAAGCATTTTTAATGCTCTCCCATGGTTTCTGACATCTACAATACTATCCCAAGTTTATATAGGTCACACTGTATTGCAATACATACCAAAGTTAAAATTTGAGAGGATTTCAATCCAGCAATAACTTCTTTAATCTCATCTACATAACAGACTTTACTAATTCCGTATTTTGTAGAAAAATCTGAAGGGGTTGGGAGTGGTCCCATCCAGAATGCATACTCAGCTGGGTGTCTAGGTATAAATAAAATTGTTACACCTGATAATATGTCAATCGCGCCATAGCAGCCGGGTTCTGTCACACCAAAGGCCCATATGAAATATGATTCCTAAATAGCTCATTATTAACAAACCTTATAAATGATCCCAGAATGATTGGCAAATTACCTGTCGGAATACATTATAGGTAGTATCCGTATCATAGAAAGATACTTCCTCTCCACCTTGCAAAATAACTACTCCACTATTACCATTTTCCTTTAAGCGATTTACAAGCCTCTCTCTATTTAGAGAAAACAATTCTAAAGGAATTTTTAAAGTTCCTTTTCCCGAGGACAACATCCTAGAAAATTGTACTTAAGAGAACTGAGAACTAACAATATATATAAATATTATTTATCTAATTTGTAAAACTTTTGTAATATTCCGATTGCAGAGGGGATTATTATACTGATTAAATGATCCAATCTTTAAAATTTATTGGGGATCTATTTCCCTGACGTTTGCTGAACAACGTACATATTATCAATATGTTTGAAAACCTTCTATCTTCTATCTTATCAATCAATACCGGAATTAAATAGGTATTAAACAATTATTAGGTACCTATTCCATTGCGCTTTTAGATGCAACGTTTGTGGGTTTAATAATACCAAAGGAGAAGGAAGATTTAGTATGACTTTAAAATATAAATTATCAACCTCAATGCCGTATTTGTTTTTCTATTGCAAACCTTGTTTCGTCACTTTGATTAACACAATTTCGACACAAAAAAATATTCAATTCACGCGCAGCCTCAATAATTATTGGTGTTTTTTCTGATCTCAAACTTTAAATTAAAGGAAAAAACAAGCGTTTTAATTAATAAGTTCAACTTCATTCATAGGTTACAGTAGCCTTTTTTAATTTATTGCAATTGGCCACCTTTGTTAAGACCAATCGGCCAGAAAAATAAGGTTAATCCGAAACGCGTCTTCTATTTGCTACTCAGTTTGACTATTCGCACAAAAAATATGTAATAATTAAATAAAAAATTATATGCCATTACGAAATAAAGAGATATTTTGTGTATGCGATTTTATACGACGAACTATGTGTTATGGTAAAACGATTTTTTCATATTAGTTTTATATATTGAAGCGCATTTTCTTCTTGTCGATGAATAATTACAATGCGGCAAGTAAAATAATAATTAATTTTAAAAAATTGAAAATGGTATAAATTTTAATTAACAATGTGTATTTTCCACTATTCGTAAGTAAAACACACTGTTTATGAATTTGATGCTGTGTTGTCGCATTTGGAATATTGCACAACAGTCAACCTACGGGTCGAAATTGTTGACTATTGTTTAAAATTTGTATTTGTAAATGCGTTTGAGTTGGCGTTTTAGGTTTAGCCCTGGTCTGTCGGTTAAGGCGTCTAACTAGAAATCAGTTGGCGTTTTTTGAACAACTATTTGTGTGTAGCAGTTTAAATTAAAAAATGACCGAATTTAAAGCACACATGAATAAAAAAAAATCAGTTTTATGCCACTTTACGAATAAAAAAATATAAACAAACATCTATTGAAAATTATTGGATAAAAAATAAATAATATTTAGTTTTACGGGATGACGTAAATATTTATTTGACCATTTGGCAACAGTGATTTGGAAAGATGTAAATAATAGCCTCCCGGTCGTTTCATTGCTCAGACGTAACAAATATAACCTTGATTTACCGGTCCGCGTGTTTTTAAAGATATTGTTTACATACACTGTATCGTAAAATATTTTTCTTTTCAATTTAGTGCCTATTAAATTGAACGAACGACTCTCATTGGGTTATAGCGTGAATGAGGGTGTTAAAATTTTAAAACGCGTAGCGGAAATAAAATATTTCGCGTTTAGAAGTGGGACTATTTTTCGCTCGCGCATGTATTTGTGAAAGCAACCCAAACAACAGTTAATGAGGTTGAGTCAAGTGTTGTACTATAATACAGTTCAGTATCGTTGTTGTATCGACGTAAGGGGATTGTGCTACAAGGTTTTGTGGAGTATTTGTTTCCCAACGAAGTTTGTTTATGTTAAATTCGTATCTTTATAAATGCCGGAAATGCCGTCTGCCGATATGCGTACAATGACAACAGTGAGTGTTCCCGTTCCTATAAAAAGTTCCGAGTTGACTGTATCGTCCAAAGATGTGGAAAGTTTAGTGCTTGAAATAAAGGAGAATCTTAGGCTATCTTCCGGAACCGCAGCAAAAGCAGTCTCCTGCAGTCATCTTTCACGAAAGTCATCACGAGCTTCCCCATATCGCATTCCAGGAAAATATTATGGTTCCAGTTCCTGTGACACAAACTGCGTCCCACGTAACAAACGTAAACAAGATACGGGCCACGAAGATCCTTATGAACTTTTACAGAAGTTATTAAACAATGGTAACTTAGTTAGCGAAGCGGTTCGCAGAGTTCAATTAGGTTTAACTCCTAAACAAAAATTTTACTATGATTCAGATGAGGAATCATCTAGAAGTCCTATTTTTCGGTTTTACCAAGACCTGTGAATATTCGTTTTCGTTTAAAAAAGTATTTATTACAAATTATATGTTCCTTTTATTTAAAAGCAGAGTAGAGTATGGCAGTAAAAGTGAATGCCGGAGATCTGAAGATGTAAATGTTTAATAATATAGCCTAAGCCAATATGAACAAATATAAGTTTGTTCGTTTTTGAGTGAAGTTTGATTTTGTGTATATATTAGTGCATTTTTAGTTTTAAAGTTTTTGAGTTTGTTTGTATTTTAAGAACAATCTAGGAAATTACCTTTCTCTGTTTTTATTTATTTTAATATTCTACGCTTATAATGTTTGAATCTAAATATGTTAGCAAAACGCTACATGTTTTACGCTTATTTAAAAGTTCATCGTTTTGCATAATGTTTTGTTTGTTAGAATTTAATAATTTATAAATATCAGTTTTTAAGTACTTTGTCTGTGATCACCATTCTATTTGATCCTTTATACAACAAAATAAGTTTTTTTTATATTTCTAAATAATTGGCACTGTCCGGTAATGTTTCTTTCTGTAGCAAATACCCTTGTTTGTGTAATTGGAGGCAAAAATTAGTTTATAAACGTTTAGTAAAATTAATTTCAATTATATTTTATTTTTAGGCGAGGGTTTTAGTAATAATTGTATTCCTGTTTTGTAACTAGTTAATGAGAAATAATAACTTTTCAATAATAGTGAAGATTGACAAAAAGTACGGGCTTTGGGTCTTGGAAAGATTGGTACTTTTGTGTAAATTAATCTGTGATTTTAGTATGTATACCTACTCGGAGTAATACAGTGGTGACCTGTAAAATGTTATCAAATAAATGCGTAAAAAATTGTATTCTATTTTTATATCCTCTCCTTAGAAAATTACTTATTTACCTATTCGTAACTTAAAGTATTATGTGAGGTAAAAAGGCACTTAACATTAAATTAAGTATCTTTTAATTTAATTTTAATAAGTACTTAGAGTATTTATTTTCAGTATGTCATAAAACAAAATTGGCGATAAAACAATGTATAGCACTTTTTCGGTTACGTAATACCTTTATTTGAAGAGATAAATAAACGCTTAATGCGTAGTTTACGTAAGTTTAATAAATTAAAATTTTGTGGGCAAATGAACACAAATGTTTCAAATTAAAATAAAAACAGCAATTTTAATGTGCGGGATACTTAAAAAAAAGTACTTTGGGTTTATTAATATATGTAAGCGTCACTGGTTTGAATGTCATGTTCGGTTGCATAATTTCCACACTTGAAAAGGTTTCATATTAAAATTCTATAGACCAAAGGAAACTAAACACTAATGTGTTGCATAATGACTTTCAGTCACGTTGCTCCCTAGTGTTTCCGGACATAGTGGCAACGGTATCAATGTGATAAATATACCAAAGCATGGCAGCACTATTTATTAAACTAGTTTTAGCTTTACTTTTGTAGCAGCAAAACTAAACGATAAATTAGAAAAGAAAAATTTTAAAAAGAAATTTGTGGTTATGTCTGTGGGCATAGAAATAAAATTTATCCACAAGTCAATTTTGTTTCAAATTCAAATGTTTTTCAGCGATTGAAATTTAAAATAATTTTTTGTATTCTATAGGATACTTTGGAAATGTTCACATCAATAAAAACCATTGCGTGCAACGTCATAAGAAGGAAAGTAAATAGAGTTGTAAGTAGTGGTTCAAAATTGCTGTTTTTTTCATAACTTGTTCATTCGTTTTTAAACTAACCTCAAAATGTTTGTGTTTAGTTTACTTTACCCATGAAAATATTTAATTTTGAAATTCATTTTTGCAAACGTATTTTTGTAGATACATATCCATGATTACTTATGACTGCGAAAGGCATTAAACATAACTTATTTTACAGAGAATTCAACATTTGTGTTTGTCGCAAAATGCTTCCGTCACAGAGGCCGACATTCTAAATGCATTAAAAAAAAAATTTCCGAAGGCAACTGTAGTCGTGGAAGATACTTCAGGAGGCTGTGGAGCCATGTTTAATATTGTAGTTAAGGCGCAGGAATTTGAAGGATTGTCGGTATTGAAGCAACATCAAAGCGTTTATGATGCCTTATCGGAGCAGATTAAAAGAGTGCATGGTTTACATCTAGTAACTGCGGGGGCGAAGTAGCATATGATTTTAGAAAATAGCAATTCATAATTGAATTGTTTTATGCCTGCAGTTGTTGATTTTTTAATATTTCTTCCCTAGAATTATCTAATAAATTGTGATAATAAGAATAAACGTGGTTATATAATTTTGACGAACTTTTTCGGTACATCTCGAATCATCATCCAACCATAGATGACTAAGTGGGGTGAATTACAGAACGGGAGAATGATAACGAATCATTAAATACAATTTTTTTGGGCGGGTATAGAAATATTTTTCAAATTGCATTGTTGTGACTTTTAAATCATAGATGGCAGCACCATTTGAAATGCTGTAAACAGTTTTATCTAAGATTTTCTTTGACTCTTTTAGTATCAGTGCAATTACATTCTGGTGGTATATTAACAATACAGTAAAAGGTAAGTGGTAAGTGTCTGTAGCATTTTTTTATGTTTAGTTTTTATCGCATCATATGTACGTCGTTATCCATTTCCTCCGCTTCGCTCGTGAACTAAAATGCGCAAACTCCTCTAATATGGCTCCGAATCCAAATCTACTAACAGCGATCGATAATAAGCAATGTGACGTAAATGCAACGCCGTGGTGTTGCCTAAATATTTATCTTGGTGAAAAATGTTATTTAAAGTGACCTGAGTGTATTTAGTGAAATATTTTTTTCGAAATTTGAAAGTCTGCGCTAACAAGCATGATTTTCTATTAATTGTGTTCGGTACACGCAGGTGCGTACGCAGCCGTACTAATATTTCTAACTGGGCCTGCTCCATTATTGTTGGTGATGCCCAAAGTTCCCAACAAATTGCGTTTATTTTTATAAATTCTCTGTAGATTTTTCATAACATTTGCTGTCACGATTTTTCATCAAACGCAATTTGTTATAAGGAATGAGGAGGAAACATGGTACCTCCGCAGGTACAGACATTTTTCTTAAGAATCCAAATCGCGCCAAACCACCTTGTCTGTGTGCGCAATTACTGTTGCTATTACATGTGCATGCGTTAAAAAATGCGATTTGCCGGATTTGGATCAAAACAATGCTATTTTGGTGGCATTTACCCCAAAAACAATAATGCCTTTAGGGGTAAAGGGGCTCCAGAGCAGTTATTGATTTTATGCCATTTGCAGAATAGATTCGGCGGTATTTGTAACTTATATTTTCTTGGATACGGATTTGTTATGATTTATTGGAAATATCGCAAAATTGTTTCCCCATAAAACGTATTTCATAAACATTTTCGCAACTTAGCAGGAACATTTTATTAATGTTAGGTTATGGTATATAAAACGTTATTTTGGACTTCGTTGGGATATTTGTTTTGGAAAAGGAAGCGGATAAATTTTAAAAGAAACTTACTTATTTATAGGCTTTAGCATTATATTGTTAATTGTTTAAAAATACAAATACTAATACCAAAACTTTCGTGGTTAGGTTTTTTCGCTACTGCGTTACCTATGTATTTTTGTTAAAATCAGCAATATAAGCATTTTAATATTCTTTTTTTTGTTGCAATTACTTAAAAAAAAACAAATCCATGCTATAATACCAAGAATACGATTGTTTTAATATATATTATGAATACAAATTCGCAACAAAAAAATTGTATTTTTTTTGTTAAGTGCCTACTAAAGAAAACATATGTGGTAACAATTTTTAGAAGGCCACTTCCATGGTTACCTAAAGTAAACTTAACATGAACAGTAACGGCAGTCAAAGCAATGGAGCTGAACAAATTACCATGGTCGTGGGTTCACCTAGTGGAATGTCTGTGCAATCTGATGACGATGACGATGCTTGTCCCTCATCACCCGGGTCAGCATATGAGGCCAGTACTGACCTTATGGCGGCTGCAATGGGTGATGAGGTTACAGCTCAATTGGCTGCTGCAGGTAACTTTTTCAATTTATAGTATAAGAATTGTATTTAAAATAATTTTGTTTATTTTTAGGACCAGTTGGTGTTGCAGCAGCGGCGGCCATTGTATCATCAAAAAAGAGAAAAAGGCCACATTCATTTGAAACCAATCCCTCAATAAGAAAACGACAACAAAATAGGCTATTAAGGAAGTTAAGGGTTTGTCACGTTAAGATAGCTGTTGCAAAGGCAACCAATGACATAGCTGCTTTTACTTTTAGCAAACAATCGATGAGTTTGCTACTAGAGTAGGTCAACAAGCTATTGTACTAGTCGCAACACCTGGCAAACCTAACACAAGTTATAAAGTATTTGGGGCTAAGCCCTTGGAAGATGTTATAAAAAATCTAAAGGTAACCATAATGGAGGAGTTAGAGAATGCACTGGCGCATCAGGCACCACCACCAATACAAGAGGATCCAACATTATTTGAACTTCCTCCATTAATAATAGATGGCATTCCAACTCCTGTAGAAAAAATGACTCAGGCTCAGTTGAGAGCCTTTATCCCTCTAATGTTGAAGTATTCTACAGGTAGAGGTAAACCTGGATGGGGCAGAGAATCGACAAGACCTCCATGGTGGCCTAAGGAACTTCCTTGGGCCAATGTCAGGATGGATGCTAGAACTGAAGATGAGAAGCAAAAGGTTTTACTCAAACATACAAATGTATGCAGTTATATATTTTTTATGTTGTAGATATCGTGGACACATGCTCTACGTCAGATTGTGATTAATTGTTACAAATTTCATGGCAGAGAAGATCTGTTGCCAGCTTTTACAGAGGAAGATGAGAAAGCAAACCAAGCGGCTACATCAAATGCAAGTGTCAGTAATTCTGTGGGTGTATTAAAAATGCACTCGTCAGGCATGGTGCCTACTCATAAGATACAGATCCAAGCTAATGGTTCTCCCCAAATTATCGCTGCCTCACCGGATGGTTTGTCAGGCTCATCTACCCAGGTTTGCCTTGACCCCGGCGGCTATAGCTCAGACGTAGATGTGTGTACAATATTTTGACACTATATATTGATATATATGTACAAGTTGCTTGCATAATTTTTTTTGCTGTTTGATATCACTCTCAATTATTTACAATAGGGAACTTGCCAAAGGTTTAAATTAACAAAAAGCATATCAAATTATAGGTTGATATTAAAATTTTAATAATCAAGTATGCAATTTTCTTTCTGTAAAGTATTTCTGGCCCCCTTCTAATCCATATTTTTTTTAGCAGTATTGAGCTCAAAAAATAATGCTATTTATTGTTTAAAGGCCTGTTTTTTTTTGGTGAGCACCAAATTGAATTGGGTTGTTGTTATTTTGTGTAGGCAAGTTCCCCACTAATGTTTTAATTGGCTTCCTTCCTATAATTAAATAAATTATTTGTTGTATTTTAAAACCTTCTTTTGTAGGCAACATTTGGAGAAGTGCATATATTTGTTTTTAAGTTCCATTTTTTGGGTAAAGTAGTACATGTTTTTTTACTTTATTTATTTATATCCATCCAGCTTGGTTTTGTTTCTTCTTTTTGTTTGCCTTATAATTTTGCAGAACTTCTCATCTGTCTTATTGAAAACCCAGTTTTTGTTTTTGGAATTACTTTTTTTTTTGCACGGTCAAGTAGAACGAGTTTTCATAGTAGATGGAAAGTTATTTTTTTCCATTGCATCCTGTCAGTTAGTTTGTTTTTATTAGATTACGACGCAGTATACACCAACGGTACTGCACACCATAACCAATCCCGATGGTACTGTCAGTATTGTACAAGTGGATCCCAATAATCCAATCATTACACTACCAGATGGCACTACAGCTCATGTCCAAGGAATGGCGACTGTAAGGAATTTGATGTTATTTATTTATTTTGTTATTTTGAAATTGAAATTCCATTTTATTATGATATGAATTTACCTGAAGTTGAAGAAGGTAAACTTAATTATTGACTCTTCGTTATTTTCCTAAACTCACTTGCAGGTGAATATTGACCAACAAACACAATATTGGTTTGGCTGGCAAGGTTTAAAAAAAAATGGACAAGACTCTAATGTTTCTTAGGAATCTTTGCTTAAAATACTTGTAAGAAGGTTCCATGATGGCTCTTAGGCATTCCTGCCCTAGACTCTTTAGAGCCTCACACAGACAACATTTCCAAGTTATAATTTTGGTATTGTAATTTTGGTTTATAGTCTTTTTATGAATATCCTCCACTGCTTCAATTAGCTCCGTTTGATTGATGGTTCGTCTCCAAGAACCTTGATATTTCTTACTTGCTTCGTTTTAGTGAGTTCCACAAGATTCAGGTCCAATTATTGTTTTTCTGATTTCTTGACTAAGACATCCCGGTTCAACTTAACATCCTTAAAAGACTTTAACAAACATTGCAATGATTGGGACAATATGATCGGAACTCTCTGGCATTCACTTCATCCTCAACATACTATTTTGAGAAATTCCACAGCTTATTTATGATCGTCACCCATTGTTGAAATTTTTTTTGATTTGATTTGATTTTAGAATCAGTAATATTCATTGTAAATAATGAATTATCGAAGAAAAAAAGTTTTCTCTAAGATTGGGTCGACATTGTGCATTCTGTGTTTCTTACTGTTTTGTCATTTAAAACTGCGAGAAAATAAATAGTCATTATTTTACGAAAAGACAGTATCTTAATCAATAGAAACACATTCAATTTAAAAAGATAGGTAATCTAAAATACTCGTAAATAATAGTGAAATATTTATTGACTTGAAACAATCTTGATAAGTTTTCAACGTGCAATTTTTTAAAATATTCGTTTTCTTTTTAGATCACGCAAAAAAAGGCATCTTATTTTACAGTAAAAAAAACGTCAATTGCTTGTTCTTGCGTTATTTACCAAACCCACGAAAGCATTTTCTTGGCTTTTTTTTAATGTCCATATTTTTATTTGCTTTTTTTCAGAAACAGAACTACTTTGTATGTGCTTCGTAAACATCACTAAATAATCACTAGATTCTTTCCAGGCACTTGTCGAAACAGCTTATTTGTCGTTCTTTCAGCTTCAGTCAGGGAATGGTGATGGCACACCTGTACATACGATACAAACAATAAGTGAAAGTGGAGCGCAAGGAGAAGTGGTGGATTTGAATTCGGTGACGGAAGCAACGTTGAACTCCGACGGTCAGATAATATTGACAGCCGAAGACGGACACGGTTTGTCAATCTGAATTCCTTTTGTGATTTATACTGATTATTTTTGTTGTAGTGAGTGGTGTCATTACCGTTCCGGTGTCGGCGTCGATGTATCAAACAATGGTTGCCAACATCCAACACCTTCACACCAACAGCGACGGGACTGTGTGTGTAACACCTGTGGTACAAGTACCCAAGGTAATATAAATATTAATATAAATAAATATATAAAAATATGTATTCTGTTCTCTAAAATAATAATAATTTAAAAAGGTCAGATAGATCATTCTGTGGATAGAAACCATTTTTATAAACGTGATTTTTATTTAACTGCAATTTTTCAATTTGACTTGCTTGCAAAATTTCTAGAATTGCACAGGCTTGATCAATGCGGTTTTTACCTTAGTCAGGCTATTCAAAGTTACCAGTTATATTTGAAAGAGACACTGCAAAGCATTGATCTGTGTTTAGTAGTAGGTTATAGGAAGTACCAAGAAGCCTTCAAATCATTTCTCAAAGGTACATAGTCAGCCACACTATAAATTATTTTTGTCGTCAACAAAGAGCAAAATTTGACTATCAATTTTAGTAATTACATCAGACGCCTCAAAAACTAAAGGAGTAGAAGGTGGAATATATGACCCCAAGTCAAAAATAAAAATTATCCCAGTGCACACGCAAGCAGCAGCGCTTCCTCTGTGCAAGAGAAATAAAGGTGAAAAAGATTCGTGATAAGATAATTGCGATCCAAACCCACATGTAAGACCATTTCCTTCTCTTGGCAAATTATGCATTAAGTGTTTTCTTCCATTCCCATTGGACTTTGATGCTTTTTAAGCCTGGTTTAAAGCTTTATGACAATCCAAAACTAACTTTAGAAGAAAAGGAAATGGTTAATCAGACGGACGAACCTAGATAAAGTTCTGTAGCTATGGAGGGAGTCATAGTAGATCCTTTGGTTCGCTGACATACAGGCGTAATCTATTTCAGCCTTGTCGGAATTATGACTGTTCTTATACTAAACCCAGGATCTAACAAAAGGAAATATACTGACATAGAGTAAATATATTATATGTCAATGCTAACAAAACAAAAATCAACGACTATGATATATGAGCCCATGGATAGATATTTCGTATTACGCACACTAAAGTTTCCGAATTGGCATATTAAAAACAGTAAACATAAAGTGAGTGGGTGAGACGATCTACGCTTTCGCTTAATGAGAATAATAATAAAGGTCTTTATATTGAATTCAACAAAATAATTATTTGCTCTAAAACTATTAACCCAAATCTGCAATATTGTTGAACGAAAAAACGCGGGAAATCAGCAATTTTTCAATTACGGGCAAAAATCTAAAAGACCCCTTTTTTTCGAGAAATTCGTGAAAAATATGGCTATTTGGTTTGGCCGCATCGGGAGCTACAATTTTCGTATTTACGGTTTTCGTCTTTCACACACGGCGCTCAAGATAATTGAAAACATCCATATAGAAATCACAATTTAGACGCGATGACGTCATGTTCTGCATAGTTTGAGGAAAAAAATATTTACTAGAAAATCATCAATTCCATTGGTAAAAATCAGGGAACATAAACTGTAAACTATACTTCCAGAAATTTTTGGAATATATACAGGGTGTGTCGTTTATGGGCAAGAAATCTAAACGATCTTGTGGGTAAAATATTAGCCGAGAATGAAAAACGTCAAAGATGGGATAACAGTGTCGTAAACTGCGTCGAGAGCTACAATTTTCGTATTTATAATTTTCGTCATACAGGGTGCGCGAGATATTTGAAACAATATCATTGGAAATCCCTATTACTGGTACAAATTTTCATATTTTCCATGACGCGCATGCTCGATAAAATTACATTCATTTTGCCAAAAGGATATTGTTGTTTGTTTCCAGAGACTTTTTTTTTTTGTTAGGTTGAACCGAATAACGGGGACAGTATGGAGACATTGACGGTGACACCGAGTGGGATTACCACCCATTCTATGATGATTCAAGGTACAGGTAATGACGGCCCACAAGTATTACAAGTTTTATCTTTAAAAGATGCGACCGTTTTAACGAAAGCGATGCAGGGTATCGCGGATGTTAAAACCGAGGAAACTATAATAAGTGACCAATAGATTTAAGCCTATCGTACATCTTAAATTACTTTTTACTAGCGGCGAATGAATTTAATCGATTCGTTTACGCCAGTCTATGTTTTATTGTTTTTTATTGCACATATTTGTACATATAATATACTTTTTACAAAATTTATTTCTACAAATACTATTGGGGTCTTCGTGTCAAGGGGATAACCAACATAACGAAAGACTTTCGGTTTTGTTTCTGTGGGCGTAAAATACCGAGAAATCAAAAATGTTCGCAATTTTTTTTTGAGCCCTATAGGTGGGGTTTATGAATAAATAGGGACGTCGACTATATCTTCCTTTATCCATCAACTAAAATGCAGATAAAGTTTGTGTGGGACATGTATATATTTCTCTAATCATACCACATGGTGATAATACATATTTATCCTATTCTTTTCAGCAACAAAATTTCACTTTTTTTTTTTTAAATAAAAAGGTACAATGGGGTCATTGTAATAAAGTCTCTACAACTAGACCGTAAAATATTAAAATATTTTCCATTTGAATTTTGCAATTTAAGTTTAAAAAAATGGTTAGGTTAACCTAAACCCGTTACTTGTAAAATATTTGAAAAGATCTTTAAATTTATTATTTAATAATTTAATTCGTATTGTCCTATTGTTTTCAGTAATAAAATTTCACGTTTTTCTAAGTGAAAATTTTGATTTTTAAAGGGAAAAATAGATGCTACAACAATGTAGTAAAATATTTCACTTTTAAATTTTCAAATTTAAAAAATGATTAGGTGAAAATATAATTTATGCCCGTTACTTGTAAAATATTTTGAAAAGATCTTTAAATTTATTATTTAATAATTTAATTCGTATTGTCCTATTGTTTTCAGTGATAAAATTTCACGTTTTTCTAAGTGAAAATTTTGGTTTTTGAAGGGAGAAAGGGATGCTACAACAATGTAGTAAAATATTTCACTTTTAAATTTTCAAATAAAAAAAAAGTGGTTAGATGAAAATATAATTGATGTCCGTTACATGTAAAGTATTTTGAAAAGATCGTTAAATTTATTATTTAATAATTTATTATTAAATTATTTGTTTTCAGTGATATTTTTTCAATTTTTTCTAAGTGAAAATTTTGATTTTAAAGGGAAAAATGGACGCTACAAGAATGTAGTAAAATATTTCACTTTTGAATTTTTAAATAAAAAAAAAATGGTTAGATGAAAATAGAATTTATGCCCGTTACTTGTAAAATATTTTGAAAAGATCGTTAAAATTATTATTTAATAATTTAATACGTATTATCCTATTGTTTTCAGTGATAAAATTTCCCGTTTTCCTAAGTGAAAATTTTGATTTTTGAAGGGAGAAAGGGACGCTACAACAATGTAGTAAAATATTTTACTTTTGAATTTAAAAAAAAAATGGTTAGGTGAAAATATAATTTATGTCCGTTACTTGTAAAATATTTTGAAAAGATCATTAAATTTATTATTTAATAATTTAATACATATTATCTCATTGTTTTCAGTGATATTTTTTCAATTTTTTCTAAGTGAAAATTTTGATTTTAAAGGGAAAAATGGACGCTACAACAATGTAGTAAAATATTTCACTTTTGAATTTTCAAATAAAAAAAAAATGGTTAGATGAAAATAGAATTTATGCCCGTTACTTGTAAAATATTTGAAAAGATCTTTAAATTTATTATTTAATAATTTAATTCGTATTCTCCTATTGTTTTCAGTAATAAAATTTCACGTTTTTCTAAGTGAAAATTTTGATTTTTGAAAGGAGAAAGGGATGCTACAACAATGTAGTAAAATATTTTACTTTTAAATTTTCAAATAAAAAAAAATGATTAGGTGAAAATATAATTTATGCCCGTTACTTGTAAAATATTTTGAAAAGATCATTCAATTTATTATTTAATAATTTAATACATATTATCCTATTGTTTTCAGCGATAAAATTTTACATTTTTCTAAGCAAGAATTTTGATTTATAAAAGGAAACAGCAGACCCTACAACAGTGTAGTATTGAATTTTCAGTTTAAATAACAACTAGAGATTGAGAAATGAAAAATAATGGTTAAGTGAAAATTTAATTTAAACCCTTCTGCGATACTGTTTACAAATCTTCTGGATTCCTCCTGCACCGGTTGTTGATAAATTAAACTTGCTGACATTTCGCCAATCGTTCTGTTGGCCTCTTCAGAACTCAGTTTCAGTTAAGGAGTCCAGAAGTTTTGTAAATAGTATTACGGTCGCCTGCGGAAGTTTCTTTGAAAAATTAACAAGCCTTGTGCAATATTTTGAAAAAAACATTGAAGCTAATTAAAATATGTGGGAAAAAACCGGAAATCTGGAGTTTTTTGGTTTTGCAATTGGTTATAAAAGCCCCAAATTTCATATGCGATTGCGGTGGTTTTCTGGTACTTGATTTCGGGGCGCTTATTGTGGATTTATTAATTTCATAATATTTTCCATTTATTGTTACGGGCGATTTTTTTGAATTGTGGACCTATTGTGAGTGATGATTTTTTTAATCTTTTTTTTTACATTGTTATAATTTTGTTGCAGTTGCTTTAGCCGCGTATTAAGTATTTTTTTTCGTAGCGTAGATAATGCCATTGATTGAAAGTTTTCGTACAAATGGGAGACAGGGCACCACCAAACCTTTTTTATATCGATAATTACTTGGTTTCATGCGGCTTAATTCACAAAGTATTTATTTTATTCTACGCGAAATGGGTTTATTTTTTTATCGAGGTTCGCTAGTACAGGGTGTTCGTTTATATTTCGTCACCCACCTACAGTGCTTGTTAAAAAGTCTAGGTAAAAACTTTTTATTTAGGAGTTGTAAGTATAATTTCTTCTCTATGTCAATAAAACCCATTTGATCGTCGTAAAGATAAAAGAAATTAACGTAATGTTTTTTGATTAGAACAAACACCCTTATTTCAAAATTTTATAGTTTGTCGGCACTTGATTCACCCGTTTTTGAAATACGGAAAATAAACTTATTTCATGTTTTTGATCTTCTCCCTCACTTATATTATACATTTTTTTACGGTAATAATTATGGTGAACTCAAGTTTTTTCAAAAACGTCTATTATTTTTGAAATCGGCTTGAAAAAGTGAACTTTAAAAAAAAATCGATTCTTATTTGTTTTTAAAGGTACAAGCTTACAACTTTTATGTAAAAAGTTTTCGAATATACCCTGTAATAAACTCAGTAGGTTGGTGTCAAAATGTAAATAAAAACCTTGTACCTAGTAATTTTATCGTTTTATTTTATAGTTTACATTTCAACTATCCACTTGAAGTGTGCGAAATATACCGGTTCCCCTGTATCAGGGTATATTTTTTTCTATTCCGGGAAATGATTTTTACAACATTTCCTGCGTTTTTTATTTTTTTTTATTTCGGGACAGATAGTTACTTTCAATTTTTTTTTGTTGAATTGAATTGCGACACGACAAACCTAAAATAATATTTTTTGCAAACCATAAGAATGTACATATATATCAACAAGTATCGTTTTCTTTAATATCGAAATCCGTATCGAATTTATTTATAAAGTTGCGCTGGATTTTAAATTCCGAAGGTTCTAGAGTCGCTAGAGTTGTCCCCTATTTCGTAAAAACATGTTTTCGGTATTTCATTTTAATTAAATCATTATATTGAAGATAAATACTTTGTGGGCATGTTTCATTTTGTGTTATATGGTTGAGGCTTATTTGCCTTACAATACAAGATGGCCGTAGTTGTCCCACACTTCGAGCGTTCCAGTAATTGTTCCGTTGGACATTTTTTACTTTTTTTTTCCAAGAAAATCGTTCACGGGATATTTTTTTAGCGGGTGTAAAATTTATCCGATTAGTTATGGTCTTTATTTAATTAGGTATCCGGTTGTACAGAGATGTATATTGTTTTCTACAATTTTAGCGGGTTTAGAATTATTCCATTAGTTAGGGTGTTTATTTGCATCTGAATTAGTTGATGCTGCCATCAGTGTATCCAAACTTTTTGTGAATACCATGGAAAACTGTCCAATGCGTTCAATAAAGCACTGAGAGCGCTTGAAGCTTAACGATTTCTGGTTTGCACTGAGAATCTCCCACCTGATTTCATGGATAGGCTTTGTATGGTTATAATCATTTTTAGTAAATATGCAAAAAAGAATTACGACGAGTGCAAATGGTCCATAATATGAATTTTCAGCATGTAAGTTTTCTTTGGCATGAAATTAATAGTTTCATAATTCTTCACTTGTATTTCGTTTCATTTTGCAGGGTGTTTCCGTCACAGGGATGCTTTTAAACGACTGGCACAAAACTCCTTATTGTATATTATATATTTTTGTATTTTTCCTGTTTCGCCGGAAATTTCGAAATGAATTTAGCAAAAAGTAATTTTAAATTCACAAAATTCCGGTGATAAAACTCATCCCTGGGCCGAGTATTGAAAAATGAAGTGCTTGTAAATATGTAAAATGGTGTCTGTGCCGTTTTAAAAGAAACACGCTGCATAAATGTCTTAAGTTCTTTTTCGCATATGACTAAAACTTGCCAAAGATTATCATAGAAAATGGTGTATATTTAATTGTATTATTGACCTATAAGGCGAAACGAATTAAACTTTATTCATATAATCATTTTTAACAACTACAGTGTAAAAAGTTTGAGGTCCTAAGTGTTATATTTTATGTAAAGATGGTACTGTTGTGTAGGTATTAATTAAATTGTAAATTAAATCTCAAGTGGTCAGTGGAATTGTTTTCTAATATTGTTTTTTTTTTGTGACATAGTGTGTAAATAATTGTCCAAATACCCTTTTGCTGACAAGGTTCCAATTGCATGTAATTGTTAGTATGTTTGATAACCGATCATTATTTTCTACGTACGCGAAATATCGTGGCATTATGAAGGAAAAAAGCCATAACAAAAATACATTAATATTTGCCTTGTACGGGTCTCAACTTTGTATGCTTTTGCGCGTTGGTTCTGTTATTATTGAAAACAATTTATTGGCAATATTGTTATACTTCTTCAATAACATTGTCATAGCTCCAGGACGACGATTTATTAAGTATATTTTTTTTTTCAATATATCTGGTGCACCATTTAAAAATGTAAAGTTCTCTTAAGTAATGCAGACAGTCTAATTGTAAGGTAAATTTTCAAATTTCCCTCGTAAACAAGTTTAAGAATAAACTATGTAGCCCGCAAAAGTGTCCAAAAGCTGGACAGTCTCTACATTATTAATTAATATTTCACAGGTAGAGTAAAAATGAAATACTGAAATGTTAAGTGAGTTGTATGTCTGCGATAATAGATACTTCCATTTGGCAGTTCCCGAGTTCCCTCTTGACTGTTTTGTTAGCTAAAATATTCATTTTGTTATCTCTGAATGAATTGGTAAAGCCAATTGTGAAAAACGTTGAACGTAAAATGACCCAAATAATAATAAATAATAAAATGGATTTTATGTGACTATAGCAAAAATTATCACTGGTTGATTATTAGTAACAAAACATCCGGGCTGGTTAAAAACAGTTATAAGAAAACCTTCTTTCTAATAGAATTATTTAATGTCCATAACACTATGGCAAATAAAAAAAATGCGTTTTTTGCGTGCCTGATTTCATCTCTGATGCTTTACAGACCGGTGTCAATCTTTCTCAAATTTAATAATGTGCACTATTTGAACCTTCTATAAAAATATACATATACAGAGACCAGAATCTTGTTAATATTTTCTGCTATACCTGTGAACGTCGTGCCATTTTAATCCTAGCCACAGTAATTGTGTCCATATGTCTGCAATTATGGAGCTATAAATGACTAGCATTAGATAATTTGATGATATCTAACAAAGTGTAGTGCCATTTCGTTGCATAATAATAGTAATAATAATAAAAATAATAATAATATGCTTTATTTGCTTCTCGATATTTTATAAAATAGACAAGGTGTTTGAAAAAATATGCGAAACGCTTAACTGGAGATTTTTCATAAAAAAAAAAAGAAAAAAGTTCTTATAAACAGAAAATTCTTAGTTTCCAATATTCGGGGTGGTAAATATCTAAAAAAACAGCTTTCATATGCTAAATTAATCCCATGGTCGTTATTTTGAACAGTATATTGTGGCTGAAAGGTCCCAAAACTAAATGTTCATAAAAATATGTCGTATTGATTCTCATGATTTTGTTTGAAAACGAAGCAAGATACAAAAACAACTCAAGAATCACTTTTACTGGCTTATTCAAAGTAAATAACAAAAATAGCGAAAAAAGTCAGTGGTGTACATTTTGTCTAGTTTCTTCCGTATTTCTTTTTTTTATGGCGAATTTCAAGCAAAGCAAAGCTGGCCAATCTGGATAGTATCCGTTATCCTAGACATATCTATCTCAGTATTTTTTCTGAAACTAATCCTAACCAATATTAAATTTTCGTTAACATGCAATATCACAATCAATTGTGTGGAAATCGTTAGAAACAGCGAATTTTGAGCCATTGTTTCCGGTCGATTGATAAAAATTCATAATTTGTTTGTTTTGGTTAGTCCATAATCGAAAGTAAGATATAAAAAGTCGCGGGCTTTGGTGTTTGAAAAGAGGATCGAGTCTAGCCTTGCAGTTGACTGGGTATTAAGTTGTGGTATTGTAGAAAAATAGGGAAATATGAATTTTTTAGGTAATTTAAAAATAAGAGGGGGGATGATGTTTGTTACAAACTGCTTCGGGTTATGTTAAAAACATTTTGTAAACCGTATGTTTCCTTTTCTTTCTCAAAACCACACAGGTCAGTATGTTGCCGAGCGATGTACATTTTTTAAATTTACAAAATGCCGTTAAGTACGTATGATTTGTAAAATGTCTCTGTTGTAAACACCAAAATAAATACATAAAACAAATATAAAGGCGAATTAATTATCAACAGGTGGGCCATTTTTGTTGCAAGGTTTCCTACCAGTTAAATTCATTCATATAACACATGTTTTTTGTGTTTAGGTTTAATATTGCCGTGGCTACTCAAATATTCCAGTTTCCAAAGCCAAGTGTCAGTTCTTCGGACTTTCTTATAGTTGAAAAATTGGTTCTTTGTGAAGATAGTTTTACCGGAAACCAATTTTTATTGGCACTGATCTGCAGTGCTGCTTGTCCATTGTGACAATATGAAGTTATGAGGCGAGGTAAGATTCTCTTTTGAATTCAATATAATGCCGGTAGTCAAAGTTTCCGTAAGTGGTATGCTTAATAGGGAGCCGTTGAAGGTTTCCTTTTCTTCAGGTTAATGACTACGGTTTACTTTTGTGCCATTTGCCATTGAAATTGAACCAGTGTTCAACCAAATTTGTATTTTCCTTTTTAATAAACCTTTTTACAAGTGCTCCCGTTTTTCATTTTTTGATTAATTTACCTTAGCGTGCGATCGGTGGGTAGCTATTATTATATTTTAAAATACTTTCTTTTAAATTGAAATCAAATCAATCAATTGCAAATAAATTATTACTTCTTGGGATCCCTGCGGCACATTACTTAAAAAGTCATGACGAAGTTTTTCATTTTTGTATAAAAAAAGTTGATTTTTTTTCTTGTGACTTAGATCAGCGCTCATTTTATTCCCATCTTCGTTCTTTGCAATTTATTCCTTAACAGCGTCATTCAGATTACTTCAACAATTTTTATTTTATATGCCAAAAGTTAAAAATATATAAATTGTTCAAGAAGAAAAGGTGATAAGTGTAATTATTTTTCCTACCCAAAAATCTATTGATATGCTCCTCTGAAAGATAGCGGTAAATCAAATAAAATGTACGTGATAATATGTTTTTTATATTACGATAATTGCTGCCGCTTGTTTTTAATCAACGTTGAATAATTATATCATAGATGAAATATTAGAATTCATAATCAATAAATCAATAATCAACCATCTCATGACCATCATGAGAGCTGACATCGTAGATTGTTTTTTATTCAAAATGGGCCATCTATAAAGTAGCTAGCAACATCACACCTATTAAGAAACAACTTTAAATTATTTAAGTCACATTTGACGTATTTGACTTATAATTCAAAAAGAGTGACATTTTTATGCACCCCAATGAAGAGAAAATGCAATATAGTGTTCTATACAGAGTGGAAAAATTTCACTTATTTTACTGTTACTGTACAAGGAGACTCGAGGAGGCAAAAAACTGATCGCTCGGTGTTTTATTTTCTACAAATATAAAGTTACAGCCAGAATTTTCAATTTAAAGGAGCTAATTTATCGTCGATGCTTCCATTTGCGTTGCTTCTATCATTTGGTCCGCTCTTTCTATTTGGAATTGACGAATGGTGATCCCCACACCAGCATCCAATGCTTGGACGTCGGTAAATAGTATCTAAGAAGTGTTTTCTGCCGTACTGGTTATTATTGGTTGCTGTAGCGAATCTGTTTCCAGTAGAACCCAGTGGCCTCCAGTTATTCATACCCAGAACGTTTCTGAAAGCCACTGGATTATATCCGTTGGAGTTTCTGGGGTACCATAGAGAATGGGGTGGCCCATCTTCTCCGAAATAATGATGATTGTATAACGGTTCAAAGTGGGGTATGCTTAATTCCACACCGTTTTCACCAAATCGATTTCTTGTGCCGCTTTTGTCGGTAAAATGATACGTATTTACTTGTGGGATGATCACTTCGTTGTTTGTTTCTCTCATTCTATTCACCACCGAATCGTAATCGTGATAGTCCTTTGTTATGGGGCTGTCATAACGTGTAGGTGCGACATGGGATGGTTTAAAAGGAACATATTCTTCTCTTGGTAGGTTGTATTTTTTATATTGGTCTTCGTCTATAGTCGTATCCAATTCAGCAGCTTGTAAGCCGATTACCACAGGAACATCCGGAATATTGTTATTGTTTTTGTTCTGATCCAAATTAGTTTCAACTCTCACGTGTACCAAGACTTCAGTTTGCACCGAGTTATTTTGGGAATGGGTTGCGTTACAGTTACCTGATGTACATGTGACCTGGTGAATGGGAATTTCGATGTTTTTGCTTAGGGGTGTTTCTTGTTTTAAAGCAGCGAGGTCTAGTTTACCTGATCCACGAATTCCATTCCCGCCTAAAATACGTCAATAATTTTTGCGTCAAATTGTTATCAGGGCTCTGTGGTAGGTACTTACTTTGCATACAAATGGTGGAAGTATAAAATATTATTTGGAATACAGAGGCGGGTTTCATTGTCATCTAACAAAAAGTATTGAATAAACTAAACCAAAATCGCGTGACATTTTATAAGATTCGGTATCTTCGTTGTTGATCTCCTTCATCTGATTCAAGGTCTGTAATTATTATTGGGTAGTTATTATTTTTTAGTTTAAAATTGCCTGGAGGATTCCTAACGTGTTACAAGTTTAACCACATTTTAATGACCTGGTCATTATACCACCGATGAAAAATATATAGGTACATGTCCGCTACAGATCAGGCGAATATTCGCTGTTTCTTATACGTCACATATATTTTCAATATCTATTTGTTACTAGCTATTGCGTTAATTTGAAAAATTCGAATTTCTTGGGCCCCAAATTTCATGTATGACTAAAGACACGGCAGTGACTGAAACGTGGTGTATTGATATAAATAAATGGAGTGGACGTCCAAAAATTTCTTGGTGTTATTCAGATGTATTCTAAAAAAATTGTTTGATTAAAATGTTCAAATATCATATAAACTTTTATTAATAAGTCAGTTTAAAATATTTCTCTGCAATCCTAATACTTTTTAGACTTTTTACAATTATATAGTATATAATGTAATTCGTTTTTGTCTGCTCAACTTGATGAATTAATAATTTTAACTAAAATCGTTCGGGTTCATCCACGATAAAAATTAATTATTCATTATTGTCCTAATACTAAGTGCCGATTATTTATGTTTTTGTGCTGTGGTCGCGCTCTAGCCTTTACCGCCCTCTCGAGCCGTGTTTTCCCTTTTATATTTAGCAGCGCCTTCTGGCGATGAGTTTGGAATATTCCAGTTGCCTCAAAAGACGAGCTCTGTAGCCTGCGTCTTTTGTTATTGGTGCATGCGCCGGGTTGGTGGTCTTAATTTACCACTTGACAGACTGTACATATTAACTCAAATCAATTAAAAACCTGCTTTATGTTGTAGAACTTTTTTTATTCAAAATCTTATTCATTAAACCACAAGAGAACGAAATATCATTTCCATTCTTTCCAATTTCTAATTTATATCACTTAACATAGACGATTAAAACAATATTTCCGCTTGGGGACCTGAAAACTAAGGTCCCGTTTCCAAAAAGCGCATATTTTTAAGGATTCTTCGCTGTGTATGTAGTGACTTTCCCGTTATCGTTGACCGTAGTGGAGGCCTCGCGGAAAGTTTGAGGTTTTCCGTCCACATTGGTGGTGACGCTTTTGCTGGAAGTGAATACGCTTTTGAACCCACTTCCATCACCCCCTTCGGATCCAAAACGTGTATTGATATTTGGTGCATTCTGAAATGAAATATATAAGACGGGTATGTAAAACGCTTTTAATTCTGAATATAAGAATGAATGAATCCACTGATCAGCCATTTCAACAAAGTATAGGAACAACGTGCTAATGCAACTGATAATGTTATAGTAAAATTCAAATTATCAGTGGCGATTCATGGTGAATGGGAGGTTACACCAATGTAATTTTTATTTGGAAACTAATGTCCTTAACAAAGAAAACATATATTTTTTGCTACATCCACTTTTATAAATAATCATTATTAATACTTTAATAAAATTTTATTCAATAACATTTTTTCATCTAATTTATTAAATCATTCTGTAATATATTTTTTAAGTTATTTGCATATAATTAGACTCGATAAGTCGTGAAGAAAAGCTATTATATAATAACGTTAATAAAAACCGATAACTTACTGGATTTTCCGGGAATACTGCGGCAGTTTGTTGAACTCCTCCGGGTCCTATGGAACCGCTCGCCAACGCTGACCCATCTAGACCTGGGCCGGTGCCAGCACCACCTCCAATCGGTCCAGCGAACGAAAATCCACTACCGTCTGGTCCAGCAAAACCTCCTCCGTAACCACCAACAAATCCACCTCGATTTCCCAAGCTAAACACTTCCGGATGTCCTTGAGCCGCTTGACCTTGTCCCTGAGCTTGTGCCTGGGCTAACGCTGTTTGAGCTTGCCTTTCTAATCTGAATTAGGGGTAGTTTATATGATTTGAGTCAATTTCCGATAAAAAGTTCGATTTAAGGCCAGATGGCTCTGGATCGTTTCCATAGCAACTGCGTTTAGCCAAATGACAGTCATTTGTGTATCGTTGGTGTTAAACTTGTGCAAAATTAGCGTGACGATCACACTTCAGGCGGGTTTTTATTGATTTGATTCAACGTACGTTAAAAATATAGGCTGAATTATCTATAATTCTTTAATTTCGCTATATCATTATTTAAAATGTAATGACTTCAAACACACGTATAAGCGAGAATAAATCTTAATGTAGACGCTGTTCTAGGAAATAGGAATGCTACTGCGGTTGTCTAAAACAATAGAGGTCTTAAAATTGTCCATTCTCATTTATTCCAATGTGATTTTACAGCAATTCCGGGAATTAATAACGTATTATTGTCGCAACAACATAATTGCTTACCCATTTCTATAGCCGCTACTAAAGGTTATTGAAGAGTGCGCTTGAGCCTTCGAATTAGGGCTAGAGGAAGCATGCGAAAAAGAAAAAGCACCACCACCGCTAAAGAAAAAGTAGTAATATAGTTTGGATAGGCATTAGTCTTATTGTAGTGAATAATGGAAAAATATGTGCTTACTCTTTCATGAACTCTAAGTGATGTTTACTTAGAGATTCAAAATATTTCGACAAATATCCAGAGAAGTCCCATTGTGGAAAGAAAGGAATGGGAGTATTTCCATTAGGGATCCCAGCTCCAGAATAGCTTCCAGAATAGCCATACGATGTCGAACCGCCTGTGCCTTGACCTAACTCATTTTCAGAATCTGATGCTAGAATAAAATTGTGTCAACAAATAATGTTGCTACACGTAAAATTTAGTTTGGAATTTTGAAATCACAAAATTGACATTAGAATTTGCTACAAAAATAGATTAGTTATGGCGTATGCTATATTTGTTCAGTTTAGCATTTTTGGGACTATAAGCACCAATATATCAATGTCGTTATAAAACGTTAATTTTAGATATTTCTTACATCCCTTTGGTCAAAATGGATTAGAAGGGTGGAATTATGAGAACATACTCGCAGTTTAAAAAACAAATAATAAGAAGATACATTTGCTGATATTTAAAGAGCTTTTATTTATTCACGCATTTTTATTTTTCGTCACTTTTTCATTGCAATAGTCTCGGCGTATTTTTGTTACTTGGAGCTTTAAACATGGTTTTATTAACGTTAAGATGTGAATAATAAGATTTATGTTATTTTCAATTTATAGAATAAATCATTCTGATTAGTTTTGATATATTTTGAGGTATTGATGCGTTGATGTGGTAGTTCTTAAATGAAAACAGAAGCTGTGAAAAAATGTATAGTTTTCCAAATATAGTGGAGATAAAACATAAGAATTTCATCTTCGTATATTGTTTATACAAAGCAGATGTTTAAATTTGAAAATATCCAATTTCAGTTGACATTTTTCACAAGAAAAAACTGTTATTTAATTTTTAAAGTTAAAATAACAAATTATGTAATATGCAATAAAATTAAATATTTTTTATAGTTATTACTGCACATTGCTAATAAAAAAATATATGACTTTAAAAATGCTGTAACGTAAAACCATAAAAATAATAAAATAAATAATTTAAACAAAAATTATCTGCTGAATATTACTATGAATTGTATATTTGTTTAAATCTACAGGGTGTTCAATCAGATCATGTTATCAAAGAAATTTCTATAAATATAGGTCAGATATGCATTGTTTCCAAGATAATGTTTTTTAAATAATTCAAATATCTTATCACGGATTTGTTTGAAATTTGGCAGCGTTGTTCTAGTGATAAAGGGCTGATTTACATTATATTTTTCAACATTTCAATAATATTTGCGAAAAATACTTAATATTTATCATAGAAAAAAAAACAAAAATACCAGTGTCGTCTCTAAATCAGCATTTTTAAAAAAATATGATATAATATATGCTTATTGAATAGATAACAATAATTATAACTTAAAAATAATTGAAAAATTGAAAGTTATGCAGCAATATAGATATTTAATTTTGTTGAAACAAAAAATAATCAAATTATATATTTGTGTTCGTGGTATTTCTATTTTTTGTAATCACACCCTGTAGCATACAAGTTTATACCAAAATATGAAAATTTAACCAAATCAACTCGCCATTTTTCTAAAAATAAATAAGAACTCTTTCTTTCGTCCCCACTATAAAAGGACGTAATTCCATTAAAATATTGTGGAATTTTTTGTAAATAACGTAAGTGCTTGAAATCCGGTTTATTTTTTCGTGCATAGGAAGAGTTGTAACAACATATATTAGAGACTTAATGTTTTTATTTTGTCTTGATAATAATTTTAGTTAGCGGGCTATGCTGTTTAACCTTTCAAACTCACTACAAAACAGGTCGAGGTCATCCCATCACACAAGCAAAGATGCATATGAAGGTTTATAATAAATTTATTGTCTTCATAGCTTTTCGTAGTAGTGACGTAGTCAAATTACATACGCAGGCATAATATAAAAGCGAGTTTCTGACATCTTATATCTTTTCTTTCCAATCCTTATTTGTAGGGTCCCTAGTTGAATTATATAAAATCGATTTAAATAAAATTCGGATTTATGTATTTTGGGAACACCAACGTCAGCTTTGAAGCTATTTAAGTACGAAACGGCTTTTCCCTATACGTATTTCAGAAACTATACAGCAAGTTGATATTGTGGCTTTACTTAATTTTAAAATATAGTTGCTCGGAGAGCTACGTCATTATTATGCAAATAATAACGCAAAATTATATTCTCGAAAATTATTTTTAATGCTGCTGTGATAACGAGATCTTGACCTTAACGTTCAATCTGCAGTTGCATTGACTTGAAAAATAATTTGACGCTGCGACTATATAATATTTACTAAAACTTATTAAAAAACAGGCGATTATTAGCTCACTATTATTATTTTCAATTCGTTTGTTGCAAAACCTTCATAGAGAGAAGGAGAATAGGATGTTCACGTCAATTCGTCGCAACCAAATATCTGAATAAATGTATAAATAATGGGTTTATTCCCGCGAATCGGCCCGGATTTCATAAAAAGCAAACGTAGCGTGCGTATGACAATCTGTTACCTGAATATCCGGCCAAACCGCCGACGAATAGGGCACTAAATAAAAAAACCATTGCAAAATACTGCATGTTTTCGCACTTTCAACACGATGCTCAAACGGTTTTAAACTACTATGGCCAGCTTACACTAATATAGGTAATTTTGAAGCGTGCGGTAGAGTAAGACAGGTTCAGAGTTGTTCCCAAACAAGTTAATTCTTTTTCATGGGATTTCTTTACAATAACCATCCGATATGATTTTAAAACAAACTTATCTAATTAAAAAATACGAACACATTTGCTCGGCTAATAACCGTGAGCGGTAACAAATTATGCGCATTTGTTGTTTGATGTTTATATACGAGGAACGATCGTATCGGATTTAATTTTTTTGCATCACAATACGGCGATTTGATTGGGATTTAAAGTACGTTTTCTTAAATTAAAAAGAATACCTACGCTATAAGAGAAAACAATCGTATTTACATTTTGAATATACGAGCCTGTAGCAAAATTTAAATAAGAATAAAATTCAAGAGTACACAGAACAAAAGTATATAACAGCAGAACAATTATAAAAGAAAAATCAAAATAAAATTTCGGACAATACATAAGTTTTAATTAATATTTTAAAAGTAATTAAATTATCACACTCCTTAATATTTTTTGGCAGCAGAATTGCGCGTATTGCTCTGTTTTGTATTTTCTGAAGTTCCGCTGGTCTATAGTTAGGTATAGGTAAAGTAATAATTTTGTATAATAATTTTGTATAACTCGTTAAATTTTGGCCGGCTCTAGATATGAAACCCACCTTTTGAGAGAACTTTCTCATTATACAATCTTAATGTGCATGTGCATGTGGATCTAATATAATTACCAGATATTTTATATGTTTCTCATACTGTAAATTAACGCCATTTATATTATTATTAACACTCTGCAGATTCAAACCATAAACAGAACTTCGACTTCATGAAATTAATGCTAAGATTATTATTGAACAGCCATCATTGATATCTCGCAGCATTTCTTCGATATTCTTACCAACCACACATATTATGGTATCGTCGGCAAATAATGTAATTTTGCTGTTTTTCACAACTTGAGCTAGATTATTAATGTACAAAAGAAACAATAATGGCCCCAAAACAGTCCCCTGTGGTACCCCATGTTCCACCAAGATAGACTCAGGCACAGATGGCTCATATTTTACTTTTTGTGTTCTGCCAGATAAGTAAGATTTTAGCCAATCCAGGGCTAAGTGCTTTATACCCATATTTTCTAGCTTATCAATTAAAATATCCCTATTGCACAGTCTCAAAAGCTCTTCTAAAGTCCAAATAGACAGCCAAAATAAAACTATTCTCATCGACAGTCCCAACAAATTCATCATAGATACTAACCATCACAGTCTGGCAAGAATGTCCCGTTCGAAATCCCGATTGAGTAGAGACAATTAAATTGTTTGCGTCACAATGTCTCTGCAGCTGCTCCTTTGCAATGAGTCTAAATAATTTCTCGTACACTGGCACAGTGTTGATCCATCTAAAATTAGAATGCAGCTTAGTACCTGGAACTACCAAAGATGACTTCCATTCGTCTGGAAATTGCCCTTTAGAAAATGACGCATTTATAACATCCAATATTCGGTTTCCAACCACCGCAAAAGTATCCTTGATGACTCTTGTTGAAATGCCAGATTCACCCCCACCAACATTTTTCATTCCACGCACAATCCTTTTTAAGTGAACCAACGAAATGTTTTCAAACCTCGCGTATCGCGTATCCTGGTTTTGATCGATTGATTATTGTCGATATGATGTCTTCAATGCTCTGCACAAAATATTTATTAAATTCACTGGCTATATCCAGTTTTTACCAGTCCCTGTTCAAAAACAATTTCCCTTGGCATGGATAAACTTTTATTCGGTATTTAAATGAACGGCAATATGGAAAATATTTTTAAATTTCTAGATAAATTCGACTATTTTCATACTATTTCCAAAACTTCTGGATTCCTCCTGCGTCGGTTTTTTTAAATAAAACTAGCTGACGTTTCGCCAATCATTCTGTTGACATTTTCAGAGCTTAACTGATTAACTGATTCTTTTCGTTAAATAGTTTGTGCTCTAGTCAAGGGCTTTTCACAGGTCATCAACGCTAAGTCTATACGGCGTTTTGGGTTATCACTACAAATAAAGTTTATTTCCTCAAAAAAAAATACAAATAAGGGCCTAACACTCTAGCGAAAATCGCATTTCGATTGCCCTTTTCTAACCTACAATATCAGTAAAATAATTAAAAATTCGAAATAATGTCACATCTTTGGGAATATTTTCATTATAAAATATTGATAGCATAACGAGAGTTCTTTTTAACACGTCCAAAATATGAAAAGAGATACGGTGTCACTTTTAGCAACCTGGAATATAAGATTATTTAAAACAAAAGGATTTAAATTTAAGAACTGCAACACTCCAAGTCTTTACGCCAACTAGTATTCGAAAAAGCTGCTGGGTTGGTTGAGGAATATTCCAGGAATTTCGTAAAATAAAAAAAATTCAAAGATTCTTAATATCCATGTTTATATATCATATATTATATAGTTTATATATCATGGACCACTAAAACTAAACCTTATGGAAAATAAAAATAAAGAAATGTATAGATATCAAAATTTTTTGCCTAAATATTCATTTTTAGTTATTGATTTCATTTAACTGGGATATTCTCTGTGTTTTTTCTTTATTCATTTTTAACTTTACCATTTATGTATTCGAAAAAGTAAGACATTTTTGAATGGGCCATAATTAAACGGAAATAAAATAAAAAAATTAAACTGAGTTGAAATGTAAAGCTAATTGTTTGAGGCTTTAAATCTTCGAGTGATTTAGTATTTAAATTTATATATTTACTGCTTTTTAACGAATGAATTACAAGTTAATAGCTATTAAATTAAAAAAAATAAAAATAGACATAGCCTAGCACAAAACCAGCTTAAAAGAATGAATAAAGAACTATTAAAAGAATTACTTTATCTCACACACTTCCTTTATATAATTAAAATAATTCATTATGTTTATTTCTGTTATTTTATTGTACAGTAAAAATAAACTATTTTTTCAAATAATCTCTACAATTATATATAAGTTTTCTGTCCTAATTTTTCATGTAATGGAAGAAGAAACAAACAAAATTTTTAAGTACCAGGGACTTTTCGAAAAATGTAGCTTTTTTTTGTGTAGCTTTTTATTGTGTCGGAAATGTATATAACGACTGCTATGAAGATTATACGCAGAATTTAGTAATGTGTTTAACATTTTACTGCCTATTTCACCTTGCTTTAAACTTGAAAAATATCTAATTATCTATGTTTCGTTTCTGAAATATGTTAGCTATTTTAGGGTTTTCGTGTACAGCTTAAATAAATTCATAATAATTCATTAATAAATTCTTTATAAGCTACGATATCGGTTAACTTAAAATTATTAAAAACTGAATCCTACTTTAATTTAATCGGCCTCATAATATAATAATAAAGAGGGTAAGATTAGTTGTGAAGTCAATTTTCTCTTGCTGTGTATTCTGAAAGTTGAAATATATAGGCCACGTTTAAATAACAATCTCCTGCACCCAGCTTGTACAGTGTGTCGCGTTTAAAATGAAGACACCTCTATCTATATTCTGGCTATTTGAAGTTTTGCACAGTTGCACAGGTTGATGGTGCACATTTTTTAATATTTTCAACTGAAATTAAAATTTTAAACGCATCCCCAAAGAATTTTCGATATTTTGCTTCGCTTTAAAGATATCAGAAAAGTTATTTGAAAAAGTTGCAGGAGTTGCAGGAGATTAGATTTCTAAATTAAAAACTAGTGTCTTTAAATTACTTCTTCTTACTTATGAAGTCTAAAAATGATCAAACGAGGATTAAATGACTACAAAAAATCGCATTTTTTCGAACAAGAGTAAATATCACTAAAGTGTTAGTGGGGTTATTCGTTATTTGAAAATTTCGTTATTCGTTTGGAATGCTAAGTTTTATAAAAAAAATTTATCACTCACCAAAAATAAATCGAGTGTTATAATGTCAGGGGACAAGAGAGGACAGATGTTTTGATTCCTCAAAAAGGTGTAAACGTTTTCTTGCCCTGTGTTCCATTAAAAGTTGGCTATTATTTTATCGAAAATGTTAGAGTAGTTTACAACATAATAAAGTAAAGACAAATATTATGTTGGACAAAATTTCCTATCCTAGAATTTGCGAATGTTTTTGTTACTCAAACAAGCACAGCTTTAGTTTGCTAGTATAAAGAAATTTTCTTCGCGACTTAGAGAACTTTTCAAATTGTTTTCCATCATGTTAAAACCCAGACAAAATAAATTGTCGCGTTCGTTCGAAAAATAAACTGTTAAACTCGTTCCGTTTCTAAGTTTTCGAGGAAATACGCAAATCTTCAAAGTAGAAGTTATTTAAATATTTATCGAAATATTTTTCGATATGATCGAGCGTGTTAGAGAAAACAGACGCCAAAGGAATGAATTTTTATGTAAATAAATGTAGACGTTTCCAATCACGACGTTTATCGTATATGGACGGTGCACACCGAAATGTAAAGGGTTTGTATAATGTGACGTCTTTGGAACATAGTAGTGGAGAATCTGATCGAATCCTAATGGGATTTTATTGTTGCTACCTTGAAACTTTACCAAGCGGCTCGTGTCGGAAAACAATAAGTTTAATTAAGCGTCGAAGATAATCCATCAAAACGATTTGTTTAAAATCGTGATCAGCGTGTACGTGGTTGAATAACGGTATTCCGTTGTATGCTCTAACGTCTTTTATCTTGCTTTTTGCTATGGAAATTCCCAAATCCGTCTTGTTAAACACTAAAACCGCATTTAAAATTAGTTTATATGAATTTTACCAATTGTAATTTTGGATACGTTCTGGTTTTTTTGGCGGCAATTAACGTGGTGGAGTTGTTTTTCTATTTGTTTATGAAATAGCTTATTAACACGTATTCCTGCGCCTCCGCCTAATTATAAACTCTTTTGTTCTCAATTATCATCGGCAGGTATCGCCTAGATTGAACCGCATTCGACACACCTCATATAACAATAATGCTTTTGTTTTTCTTATTGAAGTCAATGCATAAATAAGGAGTGAATCACAAAAATAAGGAATGTTGGAAGAAAAATGTAAAAAGTAAAACAAGCAATATTAGTACGAACGTACCTAACCACCTAACCACCGATACAATGTAGTAATATATTGAGAATTAATTAATTAGGAAAAAAACCTAACAAATA